TAAAATATCAGAAATCAATCGGTATAGATCTTTCATGAAATATACAAATTTTGAGAGAAGTACAATCAATTTGTAAGACTTTTCTTCTAAATTAAGAACATGGTGTGTTATATATCATATTATTACGACTATTTTTTTTAAAATACAGAACATATTTTGTATGATTCAAATATATTCAAAGTATATTTCTAAATTTGTCATATAAAAGGAGATAACTCTACTTTTATAAACAAATGGGTAGGAAATTTACCTGGGACTAGACTTAAAAACTTTGTTTCGTAGCAACAAAATGAGTCCCATTACCTTGGACTAGTACACTAACAATCAATATAATATGTTCCAGGACCACTGGTCTACTACTATATTTGATAATTGAAATATTCAACATGTTATCCTGTTTAGATAGAATATTTTGTGATATGTATATGGATCTTTTGTGTCTGAAATAAAGATGATCTGTTGTTATCTTAAACGTTTGTATTAAATATTTGTTTATCATTAGCAGAAATATGCTACGAGAAACTGAGACGCATACAGGTCGTTTTACAGGTTTTAGCCACTACCGGAAACAACTGAACTGTGTTGCAAACAAAGACCACAGGGCCCTTCTGATACTTGATATTCGCAAGCAGAAGCATGATATAGGTAGCTTATTTTTGTTTAAAACGTATAAAATAACTAATCACAACTGCACAAATAAATGGATATCTAGATTCGGAGAAATCCTTTTTGAAATTCTGATGCTGAAACAAGATACTATCCGCCAGAGACCAAAGAACAATGATGTAAACAACTGAAGGTAACGATTGGCCTTCGTCAATGAGAAAAATTCCATACTATTTAGTAAACTATACAGTTTTACAGAAGCCATAAGTTGGTTGACTTATGGAATATCTGTGTCACAGATGACCATAGACATGTTCTAACTCAGGCCTCTACAATAACTTTTTTTTCAACTTGTCCAATAGGACAAGTACATACCAAAACTTACTTGTCTGAATGGAATTTTAACTTGTCCAAAAAAAAGACAACCTTAATATTAACCTTTTCTGCATTCTAGGTTGATTCAATGAACAAAATGAATTCAAACAATAGAACAGAATTTGATTATATCTCTTGATATCCTTTTCAAAAATATGAGTCAAGAACAACTGAATCTTGTCATGTCTAGTCACAGGACTTAGGTTCTAGTTTTCATCAATGCCAAAGTCTCATCAGACTCTGCACATCAGGCACAGTCTGGTATGCCTGTCCGTCTACACTCATTTGTTTTGTATTGTGGTCTTTTATGTTGAGAGAATATTGATTATTATGATTAATGCCTTACTACAATCAGCTTTGTTTTTTATATATTAAAATGATTATTCAAAAACAATCAAATATTGTTTGTCTAAATATGATCAAATGTGATTTACTGAATGTTATGGTCAATAATTTCTTCATTTTCATTTTTAAAATATTTTTGTTAAATAAAATTTATTAAATTATAAAGCAACAGAAAAACGTTGGGAAACAAGGTACTGGTTTGTCTTGGTCTCAAAATGTCTTCAACAGTGGGAACTGTCTATTAAACATGGAGCCTATTTGTTTCTGTGCCGGTGCCGAACTGTCTGGTTACCTTATAACAAAGGCACCCATCTCCTTTTCCATGATTATGACATTACTGTATGAGAATAATCACAGAATGTATACTTCCCTTGAGCAACATGACAGGTGCCAATAGAAGACTAGAGGAGGATCTCAGCCTATTGGGGCACATTAGATCTCCTTATGTTTTGGTAGGCTTTTTGTTTCTCATTCTTTAGTTTTCTATGTATTGGTTTGTGAAGTTGTTTGTCTTTTCCTTGACTTTTTTTTTGCAATGCTGTTGTCCGTTTCTCTAGACTTGAGTTTTGAATGTCCCCTTGGTAGCTCCCACCTCTCTATTCTATTTAAGGCCCGTTTTCTCTAGACTTTTGAGTTTTGAATACATGTCCCCTTGGTAGCTCCCACCTCTCTTTTCTATTTAAGACCCGTGTTTGTCTTATTAAATTTTTTTCCTCCATAATGAAGATTAATGCACAGAGAAAGCCTAATACAATGTTTTATCAACAAATTATTCTTTAAAGTCTGGACGTTGATGCAAAAAGTTGTATCAAAGAAAAACAATACATTGACTTCAAAATTTAAAACTGATCTGAATTTTTTTCATGATCATATTTGATAATATTTAATTTAATGATTACATAAAAAAATGTTACATGTTTGAAATTTTGACTTTTTTAGTTTGCCTTAAAGAAGTAGAACATGTAGAATGTAGGTCACAATGATCAACATGTAACAAGTTACTGGCTTATATAAGTGTTAGATCAAAGTTCACATTTCAGGTTCTAAATCCTTTTCACACTGAACTAAAGTTCATTTCATTAACTGTTTTAATTATTATATCAAGCAAGCTTAGAGACAAGCACATTTGTAGATTACCTACTTTTAATTTCCCCCTTGCTGTCATTTTTTTTTTTATATGACTGTTATAATGTTCAATATGACAATGTAACAATGTAAATAAAACTTCAGCAACAACTAGCATCTTAATTTACACTATAAACAATATTCTGGTGAAAGAAGTTATGCAGCAAAAGGCTGAAAATCATATTTAAAACATCAGTTTGCGTTTCAAAGAAACAACAGATAAGACAAGCACTTGACTCATACTTATTGTACACAGTATTACAAATAGAAGAAAGTGTTGTACTAATTTTGTTCTTAAATCCTCAAGTAACCTCATATTTCAATACTGTGGATCCATCATTATTTGTGAGATATTTGTGAGATACCAATTTTAGCTGATTTCGTGGATATAGGTAAACCAAGAATTTAATGTTCAAAGAAGTATAAATTTTGTGTTGGCTTGCATGCAGTATATCGTAATACCATGGAATTGAATATCCACGGAAATATATTTTTTGCTCAAACCACGAAAATAACTAAGTCCACAGTAGTGTATAAACAAAAAATTAACAGTTAGTTGGAACTTGTTGAAATTTGGTATATTTCAGAAAATGTAAATGATATATACAAAACATGTTATATGCTGTCAGGGGACAAGCAGGGACTCTATAAACATTGATTATGTTTGATTTATGAAAGAATTTATGGTATTTGTTCTCAGTGAAATGTGATATAAAAATAGCATTGATTTATTAATTTAAACAAACAAAAATTGAGTTAAATGGGAGTATAAAATTGTTCTTGTTATCTGGGTACATCAATGGTCAAAATATATTTTCTATCTGGAGTAAAATTAGAATTCCCTTAATGCATAGTGATGATTACTTCATGTTACATGTACATTTATGTGTACATGTAGCTGACAGAAGAAAATTTTTCAGTTCTATGAAGTTTTGTCCTCTCCAGTCTCCACCATAAGATCCTAGATGGAGAAATGAACTAGATTATGCAAGAATAATTCTTGATTGATTGCTTTTCATATTTTTTATCTGACAACCAAATTTAAACTTGTCACATTTAACAGAACACCACAACAGAACAAAGTTTTTACATGGGATCTTATCATACTCATGGTATACAGTTGTTTACATGGGATCTTATCATACTCATGGTATACAGTTGTTTACATGGGATCTTATCATACTCATGGTATACAGTTGTTTACATGGGATCTTATCATACTCATGGTATACAGTTGTTTACATGGGATCTTATCATACTCATGGTATACAGTTTACATGGGATCTTATCATACTCATTGTATACAGTTGTTTACATGGGATCTTATCATACTCATGGTATACAGTTGTTTACATGGGATCTTATCATACTCATGGTATACAGTTTACATGGGATCTTATCATACTCATGGTATACAGTTTACATGGGATCTTATCATACTCATTGTATACAGTTGTTTACATGGGATCTTATCATACTCATGGTATACAGTTGTTTACATGGGATCTTATCATACTCATGGTATACAGTTGTTTACATGGGATCTTATCATACTCATGGTATACAGTTGTTTACATGGGATCTTATCATACTCATGGTATACAGTTTACATGGGATCTTATCATACTCATTGTATACATGTACAGTTGTTTACATGGGATCTTATCATACTCATGGTATACAGTTGTTTACATGGGATCTTATCATACTCATTGTATACAGTTGTTTACATGGGATCTTATCATACTCATGGTATACAGTTGTTTACATGGGATCTTATCATACTCATGGTATACAGTTTACATGGGATCTTATCATACTCATGGTATACAGTTTACATGGGATCTTATCATACTCATTGTATACAGTTGTTTACATGGGATCTTATCATACTCATGGTATACAGTTGTTTACATGGGATCTTATCATACTCATGGTATACAGTTTACATGGGATCTTATCACTCATGGTATACAGTTGTTTACATGGGATCTTATCATACTCATGGTATACAGTTGTTTACATGGGATCTTATCATACTCATTGTATACAGTTGTTTACATGGAATCTTATCATACTCATGGTATACAGTTTACATGGGATCTTATCATACTCATGGTATACAGTTTACATGGGATCTTATCATACTCATGGTATACAGTTGTATGTAGATTCTTCAAAAACCTTGAAACCTTTCCTTAATTTTAACCAGTCTTGACAGGAATCATCACGAGGTGTCTGGTTTCCAAATTTTACCTGATAATATGGCTTTTCATAAGAGATTATAGTTCTCAGGTTAAGTCAGTATTATGTATAGATCATTAGATGGAGGTTTAGTGATATGGGCTCCCCTGAGCCTTTATTTTAAACTTTTTTACCTAATAGATCTGTGTGTTGAAGATTATAACTTTGTTTTTAAATCAATTTTTCCAGTCTGTTTTAAAATCCTATGAATTACTCAAATTGAATGCATTATATAACAAGATAACCTTGGGATCATTTAAAAAAGGAAGACATGTCTTTTGTAAATAAAAACCATGTGAGTCAGCTACACATTTAAATAGACCAATTAGTTAAATTGTATGAGTTCAGTTACAAAAACATTTATACAAATCAAATCTTATACTTTATTGTGTGTTTTTCCTATAACTGGTTTGAAATTTTCTGTGTGTAGGTTGTGAATAATTTCTTTTTTATGTGAGTATTTAATTCAACACTTGAAGTTTAAATTAATTGTATTCTTTTAACACATGTTTAAGTATGCATAGAAACACAGTTATATGAATAACATGTAATAGGATTACTAAATTTTTATTACCCAAATGTTATTATAACTTTGCATGTTTTTTTTCTCTATTTTTGAGGATATGTTGGTACATTAGGTCCAAGGACACAGTTGTCGTCCTTTGGTTTTCGTTGTCTACGACTATAGTCCCTAGTGTGAACAGTGTATAACTTGCATTTTTTTTTGATACACTTTCCCAATTTATTTCTTGATATTTTATGCATGAAATATTAAGTAAGGGGATGAAATTACATGTTAAAAAAAAATTGGGTGCTGAATCTTTATGTTAAGTAGTGATTTGGTCCAGTTAAAAAAGGTCAAAAATTAGAATGTCTGAAGCTGTCAAACTGAATTTTAGCCCCCCTTAACACAGAATTGTCAATATTTTGAGTTAGAGCTGGTAGAAGTTTCTATAATTTTGATATTATTTGTATCAATAGTAGTACACTACATTGTAAAAATCTTTTTGAGATAGAGCAGGTGCGATTTTTATACGACCGCAAAAAAATTTTTGTGGTCGTATATTGGTATGACGTTGGCGTCATCGTCGTCCGGCGTCGTCTGGCGTCGTCCGAAGACACATTGGTTTTCGCACTCTAACTTTAGTTTAAGTGAATGGATCTTTATGAAATTTTACCACAAGGTTCAATACCACAAAAGGAAGGTTGGGATTGATTTTTGGGGTTATGGTAATAACAGTAAAGGAATTAGGGGCCAAAAAGGGGCCAAAAATAAGCATTTTTGTAACTTCCAGACATAACTTGTGTGTTAGTGTATGGATCTCTCTGACATTGTACCACAAGGTTCCATATCACTAAAGGAATGCTGGGATTGATTTTGGGGGTAATTGCCTCCAAATTTTAGGAATTAGGGGCCAAAAAAGGGGCAAAAAACAAGCATTTTTCTAGTTTCATGACAATAACTTGTGTGTAAGTGTATGGATCTTTCTGAAATTGTACTACAAGGTTCCATATCACAAAGGGAAAGCTGGGTTTGAGTTTGGGGGTAATTGCCCTAAACGTTTAGGAATTTGGGGCCAAAAAGGGGCCAAAAAACAAATTTTTTTCTAGTTTCCAGACAATAACTTGTGTTCAAGTGTATGGATCTCTCTGAAATTGTACTGCAAGGTACCATACCACAAAGGGAAGGCTGGGATTGAGTTTGGGGGTGATGAATCATAATGGGGGTTCAAAAAATTTTGGGGGGGGATTTATTTTTTTTCCCTTTTTTTTCTTTTTTTCCTTTTTTGTTTCTTTTAAAATTTTCCATTTTAAGTTGGTTATTTCTGATTTATATTTAAAATCAAATAATAATGATATGGTAGGAGATACACACCAAACAGGATGTGTAAATTATTATATAATAAGTATTGTGCAATAGCAAGAAATTTTCAATTGCACAGTATTGCACAATAGCAAGAAATCTTCAATTGCACAGTATTGCGCAATAGCAAGAAATCTTCAATTGCACAGTATTGCGCAATAGCAAGAAATATCCAATAGCACAATATTGCGCAATAGCAAGAAATTGTCAATTGTACAGTATTGCGCAATAGCAAGAAATATTTACTAGCACAGGATTGTGCAAAAGAAGATACTTCCTATAAATTGCTTATTTCTTGACCAATTTCAATGGGGTTTTATTCTTGATTTCATGGGGTTCTTTAATATGCTGAATCTAACCGTGTATTTAGTTTTTGGATTTTGGGCCCCGTTTTTAAATTGGTCCACATTGAGGTCCAAAGGGTCCAAAATTAAACTTTGTTTGATTTCATCAAAAATTGAATTATTGGGGTTCTTTGATATGCCGAATCTAACTGTGTATTTAGATTCTTAAATTTTGGTTCCGTTTTCAAATTGGTCTTGAACTTAGTTTGATTTTAACAAAAATTGAATTCTTAGGGTTCTTTGATATGCTGAATCTAAACATGTATTTAGATTTTTGATTATGGGCCCAGTTTTCAAGTTGGTCCAAATCGGGGTCCAAAATTAAACTTTGTTTGATTTCAACAAAAATTGAATATATGGGGTTCTTTGATATGCTGAATCTAACCATGTATTTAGATTTTTGATTTTTGGGCCCCGTTATCAACTTTGTCCACATTGAGGTCAAAAGGGTCCAAAATTAAACTTTGTTTGATTTCATCAAAAATTGAATTATTGGGGTTCTTTGATATGCCGAATCTAACCGTGTATTTAGATTCTTAATTTTGGGTTCCGTTTTCAAATTGGTCTACATTAAGGTCCAAAGGGTCCAAAATTAAACTTAGTTTGATTTTTACAAAAATTGAATTCTTAGGGTTCTTTGATATGCTGAATCTAAACATGTATTTAGATTTTTGATTATGGGCCCAGTTTTCAAGTTGGTCCAAATCGGGGTCCAAAATTAAACTTTGTTTGATTTCAACAAAAATTGAATATATGGGGTTCTTTGATATGCTGAATGTAACCATGTATTTAGATTTTTGATTTTTGGGCCCCGTTATCAACTTTGTCCACATTGAGGTCAAAAGGGTCCAAAATTAAACTTTGTTTGATTTCATCAAAAATTGAATTATTGGGGTTCTTTGATATGCCGAATCTAACCGTTTATTGAGATTCTTAATTTTTGGTTCCGTTTTCAAATTGGTCTACATTAAGGTCCAAAGGGTCCAAAATTAAACTTAGTTTGATTTTAACAAAAATTGAATTCTTAGGGTTCTTTGATATGATGAATCTAAACATGTATTTAGATTTTTGATTATGGGCCCAGTTTTCAAGTTGGTCCAAATCGGGGTCCAAAATTAAACTTTGTTTGATTTCAACAAAAATTGAATATATGGGGTTCTTTGATATGCTGAATCTAACCATGTATTTAGATTTTTGATTTTTGGGCCCCGTTATCAACTTTGTCCACATTGAGGTCAAAAGGGTCCAAAATTAAACTTTGTTTGATTTCATCAAAAATTGAATTCTTGGGGTTCTTTGATATGCTGAATCTAACCATGTATTTAGATTTTGGATATTGGACCATAATAGGTGAATGTCCAATTTAAAATTTTTAAGTTCTTAGACCACATTCAATCTGTGTTAGAAACCTATGCTGTGTCAAATATTTAATCACAATCCAAATCCAAAGCTGTATCAAGCTTGAATGTTGTGTCCATACTTCCCCCAACTGTTCAGGGTTCGACCTCTGCGGTCGTATCAAGCTGCGCCCTGCGGAGCATTTTATTTTAATTTGAATTTATTGTTTAAAAGAAATGCACTACGAAATAACTGTGTTCTCGGGCCACATGTACATACATCATTGAAACATCAACTAAATAAATCCAAAAAATGCATCTATATTTTTCAATGAAAGTTGTTTATGAAATGTTTGCTTTCACTTATAATTCATTGAATGAAGGTCTTTTATTATATGCACTTAAATTTCAATTTTGCTTCAATTGGATATGCCTGAAAAATTTGTCATAGGGAATACCGGTAAATCTTCATGATATTGACTTTATCATATCATGTTCAATATTACCTCAATATTTACAGTAATAATTATATACTTTATTTCATGTAGAATCCTAGATGTACTTTTGAGTTTCTGACAAATTTACTCTCACACACCCTTAGTTACAAACATCATTATCATACACATGTCACACAATCTTATGTTATACATATACCTCAAAATCATCAAAAGAAAAAAATTGATAGTTTAATTTTGCATCAAAAGAGAAGTACAAAGTAAAAAAGAAGAAATTGAAATGGATAATAAGTTTGGATTAAGAGTGTGAATCCAACAAAGGACTCATTTAAGGAGTAGGGGCATTGAGGGCATACTATACAATAGCAATGTCAGCTAGTTACTCAAATGAAACTCATTCAGTCATTGTGTTTGCAACATCATGAAAATTGCTAATAGTAAGAATCCAAATTCACTGAAAATTCACTACTAACATCATCAAATCGGTTACCTAAATTAAATTTGAAAGCATTTTCTATTACCTGTGATTTTATGATTTTACATGTACATGATTCATGGAATTCAACCTTCATTTTGGGGGCCTACTGGAACATGTTGAAGGCCTATAAACTAAGGAGCATTTTGCAAAATTAAACAGATAAAAATATCTCTCTCCATTTGTAGGAGAAAACCACTTTGGTTGATTCTTATACTGTCTTATGAAGTTCAAATGTTACTCCTGAACATGTTTTTGTACTGGATACAATGTATGCATGTTATATTTCCAAATGGACATTAAGCATCCATCAATTAATCAATTGATCAAGTGATCAATTAATCAATTGATCAAGTGATATTGGAAATTAGGAACCTTTAGGAAATCAATTAAATGTTAATAGCTATAGACAAAGTCTTTCTTTGTCAGCTAGTAGTTTTGTAAATGTGAAATCCCTCCATCAGTGAGTATCAGGGAAGTTATATCCAATGCAATAAATCCCATGTTTAATGGATCACATTGTTGTGATTATAGGTTATAAAACTAATTGATACTCTATGAATAGGACATTGATCATGATTTTAACAATTGTTTGGATTTGAAGAAATAAGTATTGCCATGATCGAATATCTTTTATTTGCTGACAGATTTATCTACTTTCTAGGACTGTTTCAACAGAAGATTTTTTAACATTTCTTGATAAAAAAAGAGTATAACAAAATAATGGACCAAGGTAAATTAAAAAAAGGGGAAGTCCATAAAAAATGACAAAATCAAACGGTATATATCAACGGTATATATCAACCAACGGAACGAGTGAAAAAACAATTCTCATATTCCTGACTTGGTACAGGTATTAAAATTGCATACTTTTAATCGAATAAAATTGAAATGACCACATGCTGAGACTACTATTATTATAAGAAAGTTTGCAGACAGTTTTTGTCTGTAGAGATTTAAGAATTTATTTCCTGGTCTTTGTTTATTTACCTGTGTTATTGACATTAATATCAGGTTTCTTGTCACAAGGTTAAAGGGTATAAAAATTTGATGTATTTTTAACAATCTGTCAGTTGATTGACATTGAGTGATTGGTGGTATTATAAATCTTCAAACTTATGCCTTTAATTATACCTTACACTAAATTACCTGTGGTTATTATGATAAAGTTTTGTTACACCTGATTGGACATAATATTGTTTTCTATTAGTCTTTTACACCTGAAGTAATATACAGCAAATGAAAGAAACATAAAAGAGATATTTTTGTGCTATAACTTATATATATAATTAGTTATGTATTGCATAATTAAATCTCATGAATATTATTATTAATAGAAGATGTAAAGTCGTATTACTATTTTATTGTACAATTAGTAACCAATACACAATATTAGATGTCCAAAAGCATATGAAGGTAAAACTGTGTCAAAACAGGTAAAATGTTGTTAATTTGTTATTTACATAGACTTGGGTTATTATCTTTGTATTACACTTATTTACTCTGCAATAGTCCATTGTGATATTCATTTTCGAGAGAACACGTTTTGTATGGAGCTTAGTTCAGAACAAAGAAAAGTATGTATATGACATACCTTGATGTAATACATCTAAAAGAGTTGTAATTATTGAACTTTACCTTGTGTTACCTATATTATACCTATCTTTACCTGGATTTTTCTTTATTATAGATGGTCAATAACATTAGAATTCTTCATACCAGACAATGACAGTTTTATGACAAACACAGATAGTAAGAGGATTTACTGCAAGGATAAGGATTAAATTAAATCTGGCTCAACAAACTACTAAACACCTGTATAAAAGGAAATGATATTTTAAACTATGGATACTTTTGCTGATTTGTTCAAAGACAAGCTATACCGAGGATGTTTAACAATGCGATTGTAAATTTGTACACATTGTGATGATCATGGACCTAATGGCAGTACAACATGGCCCCAGGGTGAACTGACTTGTGCTCTTGTCTTTGATGTTATCTTGAATTTATCATCCTGATTATATAACCAAATAAAATCATAATGATTAACGTAGGACAATCTGTCACTCAGGCGACAAGAAGAGATGAGGGCACACGCACAACAACTGAGGTAAGCAGCTCCAGTGGCTCGTCATTTGATTCATCGTCTAGTTCTACAGTGACGGGACAGGGAAATGTTGTCACCCAACCACATAATCCTGCTGTAAGACCTGACCATTCGAGTAATCCACAAACTAATGTTACATCTCAGCATAATAATATGCCATCAACTCGCCATATCACGACACATGATCCGAACTCTGGAATTTTTACAACTCGGGTTGAGATACGTCATGAAGCCATTCCGGACTTACTTCACTCACATGTTGTGCCATCACAGCAGTCTACTCAGGCACCTATTGTTACTCGACATGGCCAACAAATAAGACAAACTCCACCTGCACATATTCTCAATCAACGAGGTCAAGTTCATGTGCGGCATCACCCATCTCGCCAAATAAGACAACATCAACAACACAGACGGAGAACAAGGTCGCGATCTCATAGTAACAGTGAAGATGAACCTTGTAAGGCTGGATGCTTGTCATGTTTAGCAGCCTCTACATCTTTTCGATGGATTTTAGTAATTTTATCATTATTAGGAGTATGTTGTGTTGTGACTGGCATTGTCCTTGCAGCTCTTCATGCTGCTGGAAATAGTTTTCTTTTCTTAGCAATCATGTTTATAGGTAAGTTCAAAATGTAAAAAATGGTTAGTGTTTCAAAATTTTATTTCAGATACTAGTATACATGTACATATAGTTATATTTTGATATGGTAAAAAAGGAAGATTTAGTTATGTGTATACTTCTGATAAAGGCAGACTGGTAAGACAGATATTCAGTGAGTGCAATATTAGATAATAAGTAACATGGACTTTCTGATTAAAAACCCCCAGAAAGGTTAACATGCCTTGTCTTCAATGAAATAAAAGACAATACAACTAGAAGACTTGTCAAACAAGCCTTTTATAGCTGACTATGGGTTTTACTCATTGTTGAAGGACGTACCGTGACCTATAGTTGTTAATGTCTGTGTCATTTGGTATTTTTATATGCTAATGTGTTTGGTCTTTCTAACCATATATGTATTATACATTTTGTCATAAGAACCATTATCAGTTAAAGCAATCCATTTCATTATAAAACTTTAATTTACCCATTCAATACATTCAATTCTTCATTTTTCCTGAGCATTGCCTAATCCGATGAAAATCTAGCCAACATTTAAATCAATGGATTTATTTGTATGTCCAACCTTTAATTTGAGGATTTGTGACATAAAATTCCCAATCAGATTACATGTGTACAATTAAAAGTGGTTTAATTTATAATATAAGGCAATACACAGTAACATTTGTTGTGCCTTATTTTGTATGATCTTCTTTGTTATTCAATTTGATAATATTGAATTTCATATTAAATTTCATCAATTTAATATTACAGTTTCCATTTTTTCCCCTGATGTACAATGTAGCTTGTGTACTGGTAGTAAATAATTTAAAATTTTAAAGCAATAGGAATCTATAGTTACATTGATTCATTTAACTTATAATTTAGAATTAGTCATGGGGAAGTTATACATGTAATAACCTTACCAGCACACCTCCCTTATTTAATAAATACTATCATTTATAAAGGATTAAATGACATGAATGAATATGAATCTGTTTCCCCCCCCCCCCCCCCCCCACATGCCAAACATGATAAATAACACTTTGAGATAACTTACACTTAGACTTTTGTATTTTGACAAGCCAAAAGCATATTGTATGTATACCAAAATTATTAAAGAGTTTTTTATTGAAAAAGAGTAGAACTTGATATTTTGTGGTAGATAACATCAACAGTAGATTAAGCAAAAGTAATAATGTTGCTGCACTTGATTAAACTTTTGCATATAAACACTACATTAAAGTTGATCAGCCGTTACATGCATATGAAGACTTGCATACAAAATTTTATTACAGCAACAGTTTTGTACAAATACATATAGAACCTTTTCCTCTATCTTCCTATTATAATATTTAAATAAATAAAATGTTGTGAACCAGATTGACATGGATTGATTTTATCATCTGACAATGTCTGATCATTGGAAATGATATATGGACCATGTGTTAACAATCCATCATGATTTGCCTTGGGATATTTTTAGAATGTACAGTAACAGAATGTCAACATGCATAGTTTCCTTATTGCTTGTCTTTCCTTGTGTGTCTTTTCTTCCTCAGTTTTTGATGAAAGCTGAAACAATAAGTCTGGAAACAGATGGAGATCCAGGATTTTGAAAAACGGGAAGGGAGCACTAATAAAGCAACATTATCATATAGACTATGCATTAACCATAAATGTAGCTCCATAAGGGGAGGGGGCACCCATCCCCTAAATCCATCTCTGGAAAATAAGAATTTAGAGGAGGTACCCCAGATAACCATAGAATGACCATTATGGGCTATCTTGAATAAGGCAACAGTGAATCGCCACTGACATAATTTGTTACATACATTGTTTAGTAAATGAATTAAGGGTTATTGGTTGTTACAGAAACTAAGTTTTTCGAGACCCTCACACAGCGTGGCACAAGTATTTTTTTTTAACAAATCTTTTAATAGTCATCTCATGTATGTATTTATTTCTTTCCAAAATGATGACTTTGAATATTCTTGATGAAGTTTTATCAAGAAAGGGACAAATTTGGAATGTTCCATAATCAAAGGCAAGGTTTTTTTTCTTCTAAGTCCCCTTTACTTTGCAAACAACATCTGTCTTGCCATAAGCTGACACATTGTACTTTATCTTACAGTTGAAGTGTACTCTTCCTGTAAATTGTAGTTTATGTCAATATATTAAAGAAGGATAAGAGTTTAGTTATCATGGTTATATGTCTTGTTTCCTGTCTTAAAATAATCTCACACTTTCAATTTTTATTCTCCTAATCCTTCCAAACAGATGGATATAAATTTAACAACATATTAACAAAACCCACAGATGTTCTTATTCCTTATGTTTGTCGTTTCATTGACATACCCTCTTCTTCTTTTTTCATTTGTATTAAAACTTTCTGTTTATTTTCCTAGATATTGCCAAAAAATAGATATTTGTACATATCACATAAGGAAAAACTTCAAAAAGGACAAAATCATGAAAATGTTAAATGTTGGTATCACTTCTGTGCTGAAGATAATTCTGGAATTTGCACCTGGTATTTTATTGTGGTCCATGACCTATAGACCTTACAAACTATCTATCTCCTGGCATCTTATTGTGGTCCATGACCTATAGACCTTACAGGACTTATCAAGTAGTATCTATCTTGGTTTGATCACTACTGATATTTCTGGTTCACTGGATGTTTGGACCTACACCCATCATTAGACTATTATATTTACATATCTTCCAAAGGATCTCTTTTGACTGTAGCACTTCAATATGCATATATCTAGCCCAGATCTATCTTATGACAGGTTAGTTGATACGTCAGAACTAAGTGTATTGACAAGTGGTCATTTGATACACAAAATCTATATTACCTGACAGGTATGATTTGTCTTTGGACCTCCAGGTAAATACAAGGTGCTGATAACACTGCCAGTTTAATTAAGATATATATTCCCTATACACCTGTGTAGGATTATAGAAAATTTATATAGATAAATTGGAGTTAGACTGGTATATTTGCCAGACAATTTGATGTAATACAGATAAGTAGGGTGAAAATTTGACATGATTGACGTTTGATAACAGTCTGTATATGGTTTGAGATGGACCCCTACTGAGTAAAAGAAAGTCTTTATCAATAAATCGGTGTAGTCTTTATCAATAAATCGGGTGTTGTTGCTAGTGTTTTGTCACTGTTTCATGGATATTTCTTGATTAAATTTGACAAAATCATTTAATATTGAAATATTTAGAAAAAGTATGTTAGCTTTCACTGATGACCTTGGTATGTAATTTGTTATCTCAATGAAAAATGCAAAAGCAGTACTATGTAGCCTTATTAAGATGCTTTATAACTTGCTGTTCTAAAATTTCCCTTGACAAATTTAGAAAAAAAGTTAAGGAACAAAGGTTCCAGTTCCCTCAGGCAAAGTTGTCCTTTGATTAATTTGTCTATCTTTTGGCTAAGTTCCTTCTGGTCATAGTGTTACTAACTTTTCTGTGTACTTATACATCCCTGGCTTTTAAATGTTTGGGTTCAAGCGTACCTGATGAAGCTTTTAAGTAAATCCAGAAAATTGCTTCAGACACATGCAATTGATAAAGTGTTATTTTCATTTTACACATTATAAAGCAATAAAGGAGATGAAGTGTAGTTAATGAGGGGCATAAAGGGGCGGTATCTGCATTGAAGAACGCGAAATAAAATTGTCATTTCACGATGAACGAACAATTAAAAATTTGATCTTTTTACTGATTTCATGAAACATGGTAAATAACGAACCTTTTTCACGGCTGCACATGAAATAAAAATGGCAAACCACTTTGCACGGAAATAACCCTTTACCACCCTCGTTAATGATGAGTTCAATACCTGTCAAGAATTTACCCAAAAGGACAAGTTATAACAATGAGAACAAACCAACACAGATAATCTGCTGTAAAAATGTATTTACAAAATCTTAAGAACAATGGAAATTTCGAACACTTATGCCACAAATGTATGTGTAAAAGCTAAAAACATAGTACACATGCATACATGCATTTCATATTAATCATGTACTTACATTGTAATTGGAACAATAAATATTCTTAAAATATTCTATACATGTATATGTATAGTTGCACAACAGATTAGAAAATATCCTTTTGTTTGGTGTCTGTCTACATGTGATAGATCAATCTTGATTATTGTAATGAACATACATGTATGTATATCTTTTAAAAACAAGTTACTTTAGAAACACATGTCTGTCCGTCCAGTCACCCATTCAACTGCTTGTTACACTTTTTATTTCTAGATGATACATTTGTTGTAATTAAAATACCCCTTGGCCAAATCTTTTGAAATTTTAACCAATGTCATAGACCATAATAAAAAACAGGTTAACTTAACTTAAGTTCCATTTTGTCCAATTTTTTAGGGTACTGACAATTTATTGTTCAATAGACATGGCCCTTGAACACACATGCCATGGCCTATACAATACAGGTCAAGGTAGATTTTTCTGGTTATGGCTTGCACTATATAAAATTTATACCCTTGATTATATTAAAAAATAGGGTTTTATTGTTTGTGGGTTTTCCAATGATAAATCAAGTACCATATAACTGAAACTTTTTGAATTTAACATGATGTTGAACCATAGACTACACTAACATGATTAACAGATGAGGATTTGACATTTACTAATTATGAGTTATGTCAGTAAATCAATACCTGTAAACTGTATTTTTTGTTAATTGAGAATTTTTGAAAAGGGGGTGGGGGTAATTTTATAACAGTGAATATATATATACTGCTGAATGGAGTGAGGAAATTTTTTCTGATGGACAATTTCAAGTCAAAAAGTCATATAACTCATGAGAAACATGATATTGATTTTTTTGCAACCAAAGGAACCACCACTGTTCGGATGATAGTAAATATTCCACTTGACAGAATCCTTTAAATTCATAATGTACAAGTTTGATATTGACAGTAGGCATTTACCTTTCAACATGTTCAAGGGTAATGCAGTAGATGGGGATATCAGTGATCACCAAAAGTCTAGATCACCTCATTCTAGTTTTGTTTGGTTGACACAGAGACATACCATATATATATATATATATGTTTGTATATGCCTCTGGTTGACAAGCAAACATATCAAACATTGTCAAATAAACCACTGTATGATCTGCCATCACCAAAAAAAAGCAAATAATTATACATGAAATGAAGAGGACACAAAAGAAATTATTTATGTGTGTTAATTACACTTGGTAATTAATTTATGAGAAATGACAAATGAGATCAATCAAGAAAAACACAGTATATTTATCAATTAGTGTTAAAGTAGTTGTCATACATATAATAACATTTGTTTTCACTTCTTTGTACATATCATGTAAATTTATTGGTCTTGAAACAGTACTTATTATCAAGTAACTGTTAGCTTATAACTTTTCAATTAAGGTGAACATTGCCATAAAGTTTTATGACAGTGTCCTTACAAACCTTTATAATCAATATGTATACATGTACTTCAGGGTAAATATGGTAGACATATATCTATATTGATTTTCAAAGATCAAATGTTCTTCTTTTGTGTTAGAATTGTAAGATCATACATGTATACACATCATACACAATTGAAAAATATGTGCTACACCCTAAAAAAGGCCAAAATCATTCATCAAAAACTCTCTGTTCATGGGAGAAAAATTGCATTAATAGCTGAATTTCTCAGTGCATAATAGCTTTTAATTGTAATTTCAGAGTAATACCCTCTTTTATATACAGTGCATTCTTTACAATTCATATCTCTTATAAAACATGGCTTATTTTGGAAATCAAAAGTGTCATTACATTCAAATGATCAAAAATATTAATATGAAGACTTTCAGGCAATATATATGAGTTCTTGAAAAGTGGTGGTCTGAAGGTTTTATCCACCAACATTTACAAAGGACCGACACATTTTTGGTATTTTTTAATACAAATAATAGATAAGACCAGCAGATTTTCTTCAAGGACCATGAGGGAAAAAAAGATTTTGAAAACTCTGATGTACAAATGAATCACCTTGACCATGCATTTTAATGATTGTTACTTACATATAATTAGCTAAACATACATCTGTCATCAATGTGTACTTCTTTTAATGGGGTTTAATACCATTTTAGCTAAGAATAGATATAGGATTGAAGTATACTTTTGTATATTTTCCTTCAGTTCTCTCATTGGCCTTAGAAGCCATCAAGCCTCAGATTGATTGATTGATTGTTGTTTGCTTAACATCACATGGCAAGTATTTCATGCATGTTCAAGACTAGAACAAATTAAAACAATAGGTAGGTCCTATTATGGGTGATGAAGGGCAAGAAGTTTGGACAACAGCTTGAAAATGAACATTCATTGGATAGGAAATTTAGCCTTGCAACATAACATGTCGCCTATGGACCCCTCAAAGAGTTGTTGCAAGGGTTCTTAAAGTGCAGAGAGCATGGCATTCTCTCTACATGAGACATCAGATTTAACGTCCCAATTCTGACTGGATGTGGCTACGTATTTATACATCCCTCACAACAAACTTTTGGCAAGGTTTTTACTGATGGTCAGAAGAGGACCAAAATGGACTATACATGTATTTCTATTGACCAGTCACCTTTGGGGTTTTGAGCCTTTGATAAACAACCACTAACCAAGCTCTATAATCTATCACATACAAGTAGATTCAGTTGGTTTCCTGATTTTTCCAAATTACCACAAAGTGAGTATGTCCCCTCCATAGTCATGATAGTCATGATTGACTAAATTTATTTGTTAAAGTTCCATATATATGTGTAAACAAATATGCCAGTATTGAATCGGTGTTAGTTTTATTCTGAAATTTAATTTTTAAAAATATCATTTCAATCATGGTCTTGTAATTGCAATGTATTTCATTTCTGTGTCAGCATATTTCAGTCACTTTCGTGGTCCCATTGCTTATGTATATGTTAGTTTTAATAATGGTACATATTTTTCCCTAATTCATATGTAACTTTCATTAATATTTCATATGCATATATAGGCATTCCGACATGCCCTATGCAAGATGGTCATGAAGATATATAAATAACTTTTAAAATGTACATGTATAATATGTGTGTGTTCCAATATCAACCTTTGTCACACAGTATGCAATTTTTAATGTTAGGTTTGTCAGAAAAATTTCTACAAAGGTTACAGTTATCCAGGATTATTTATTTTCTAATTTTGGTTTTATTGCAGTCATAAAATATTGGGGTCTAACCCAAACATAACATGTGCTGTGATATAAATCTTTAAAACCAACAGTATCAGCAAGTGTTCTTACACCAATTGACATATGTAGTGAAGTTTAAACAACTTGTTTTGTTCAGGAAACATGCACTGTTACTTTAAATAAATCAAACATTTATTTAGATAAATCAAATGCTTCCGACATTTAGTGTGCAAATAGATTTTCTTAAAGAATACATAGTACTCAAAAAACAATGTTTACACAGATCCTGGACAAAGTTTTTAGATTTATGGCTTTTTCATGTCTATCGTCTTTTTAATTTTTGTGTGTGTTATATAAGGATAAAAAAGTCTCATTCAAAGAATATTTTCCTTTAATGGAAACACATTTCTGATGTTGTCCTGCATGTAAGGCGAGTGAGTGAGAAATTGGGATTGTCTCTTTGACATATTCCCCATTTCCATTTTTATACTTCATATAGTCATACAGCCTATTACATGGTTTTGAATTAGCATAACATGTGTGTCTTTTCATATTCTTATATTTTTGGTTATTAGAGGATTTTGGTTGTTATGGCAGATTTTCATAGTATCTGTTGAATTTATTTAGATTTCTTTTGGTTTAACTATGTCTTTCCGTTGCTGTCTGCGAGACAGATACCCAAACCTTCTTTAAATTTATTTATATGATAAATGCGTTAAGTCTGGGTAACATGGTATATTTATAAGTATTAGTTGAAATTGGCTTTGAAGTTTGAACTAAGTTTCAGATTTGTATTTAATGTTCAGTTTTGCTGTGCTTCTTGTCTTTTGATGAAACATGCCTTTTCCAAATGATTTTTAGAGTTTGTACAGTTTTACTTATGTTGTGCTATTACACCTCTGTCCCAGGTTAGGAAGAAGCTTGAGTGCTCACAAGAAATGTTTAGGCAACATTTTGAAGTGCTTATCCAAAGTCAGGAGATTGTAATTCAGTGGTTGTCATTGTTTTCTATCTGCCAAATTTGGTTTTCGTTTATTGGTTTTTAGTAGACGAGACAGCATTCAGACTCTTGTTTTTTCTTTTTAGATTGTTTCACAGTTTTCATAACAGGGCCTCTAATCTAATATAGATTTAATATAAGGAATGAGATTTACTCTCATTGTTGAAGGCTTTACCGTGACCTATAGTTGTTTTCATCCTTGTCCTTTGGTCTCTTGTTGATAGTGGTCTCATTGGCAATCATAACACAACTCCTTATTTTTATATTGATCAAGTTGTAGTGTGAACCAGAGTGGTAAGCAAGTTATAATGATATAATGCATTTTTATGAAAAAATAACCATTGGATGCTAAGCAAGCAACAATTAATAAATCAATAAAAGAAGAACTGCAATTATCAAGAATGGTCATTCAAGGGAAAAAACTGTTTAAACTTTCAGAAAAAAACAATTAACAAATTCTAATTTTTCAGGTTTGGGTGTTCTGTTGGTTGTTGTAGTCGCAGTTGGATGGAAGTGTACACCGAGAGGTCACGAACCTTTACATGCATTGTTTGGTCTTGGCGATTTTCGTAGGCGAAGAGGTCGAAGAAGACGAAGACGTGGCCATCAGAGGGGAGATGAAAGGTGGTATGGAGGTAGGTTCACAAGTAAAATATATACCGGTAATTTTAAAATATCAAATATAATATATAGATTCTACCACTGCATCAAGTGTGATACGATATTTATCCACTCGAGACAGTTAAATTTTCAAATTTAAAACACGAGGCTTGCCGAGCGTTTTAAATATTTAGAATTTAACTACCGAGAGTGGATAAATATCGTGTTACGCGAGATTTGGTGGTGGAATCTGTTTCTCTAATGATTTTCAAACAATACGCAGGCAAATTTATTCCTTCTTTTCGAATGATCTGCAAAAAGATGTGTTCTTTCTATGTGACGTCATCAGGCATGGTTGCCTTTTTTCATGCCGTCACAATAGGAAATTCAGAGGAAAGCAAGAAAATTCAACGTCATAATCGGATTTTAACCAATGAAGAACTGAGATCAAACAAACCACACGTTGATTAAATTTTTTTTATACAATGGGTGCAGAAAGGGATAAATTGACGAAGAATTAGAGAAATTATATATATAACATTTTATTTCCCTAGAAACAACACTTTGATATCTTCTATCATGACTGGCTAACACATTCTAATTCTTTTGTAAGAACTTAACATATTGTCACAAATTGTTGAAGTGAACAATACTATTATTTTGTTTCAAGGAAGAACATTGTAAGATAAAGATTTACAGTTGGGAATTAAGTGTCAGCTCTTATGTGATAAAAGACATTAATTGTCTACCTTTTTACTGTGAATGAAAGAAATTGTGAGAGACAGCAACGTTAAGTTTAACTTCTGAAATAAAGCAAGTTATTTCAAGAAAAGGTCACATTTTTATGCACTGTAAATTCATTAGTGTCTAACTTTTTTAATTTCGTGTATTTAAAGTACAATAGAGTATGTATTTCATGATATTCCTGAGGCATTGCCCTATGATTAAGTGATATTTCCGTATAAACCACAATGTCTGCTGTAAAGTCATGTACATCTAACCTGACTCCACAAGTCTTTGTACATTTCTTTGTTCTTTGCCATAGTATGTATGTTTGATTTTAAATCACCCCATGAGGAAAAGTTGTCCTCAAGCTGAAGTCAGCCGTATATTTCATTACTATGGAATGCCTGTAGGCAACGTTTTATTTAATGATGTATCATAAACATAATGTCAAACCAGATTATGAATCAAATTATTTTTTTTACATTTCCTTGATAAAATATTTATAAAGAAATGAATTTGGTTCCACAGGGACATTTCATCATGGTCGCTGAGCTAAAAACCTAAGTCATTATGAAATTTAAATTGAGATGAAAGCTTTGTTTACTTGTTAGTTTGCCCAAGGTTAGATTTTTAAGTAGAGAAAAAAGCTTTTATAGCTTGCTTTGTGGTTGACCAGTTTCATTGTAAAGGACACTCATATGAATCCTAGTATTAAAAAGTTGTTATAATTACTATTTATACATATATAAGATTTTGTATGTTGAGGCAACTTTAATGTCATTGAAATGACTAAAGTGTTTCAGTTCTGACTCATTAAACCTTTATTTCATTTGAAGAATGTTTTTAAATTGTAATTTGTAAACAACACCTTTTTTTAATGCCCCACCTACGATAGTAGAGGGGCATTATGTTTTTCGGTCTGTGCGTCCGTTCATTTGTTCGTCTGTTCGTCCGTCTGTCCCGCTTCAGGTTAAAGTTTTTGATCAAGGTAGTTTTTGATGAAGTTGAAGTCCAATCAACTTGAAACTTAGTACACATGTTCCCTATGATATGATCTTTCTAATTTTAATGTCAAATTAGAGTTTTGACCCCAATTTCACAGTCCACTGAACATAGAAAATGATAGCGCAAGTGGGGCATCCGTGAACTATGGACAAATTCTTGTTTATAAGGTTTACAATGGTTGTTTATAAAAGTTGCAAGGTACATATATATATACCATTACTTTGTCCTCCCTTTTTTGCCATCATATTCAAGTTGACATGTAAGGGTTTCTCTCCCCTGAAAGTCAACTTGTTCATTTTAAACAGTATGATTAAAAGTGAAATGAGATCTAAATTTGAACCTTATTGCCATTAATAACTGGTAAGACCTTTTTCATTCGTAAGATTTATATAATATTATACGACAATAAATCACTCAATTTTTTGCAGAATTGTTCTGTTGTTTTGTTTTGTTTAGCATTGTTTCTTTTGATTGCTTTTGAACAGGAATAACACATTGCTATATTTTAAAAATTGTCTCCATCAATTAAGGAGGTTATCATACATGGCATAACCAGTAATACTGCAGTTGCAACCATTAAGTCTAAAATTGAATGTTGCAACTCTTTAAACACAGTAGTCATTATTTAAATTTATGAGAGTTTGTAAGTGAAACTTTGAGGTGTGAAGGTTTACTTTACCACAATAAATTTCTCAACCAATAAAACTAACCTGCCATTTAAAAGCCCTTTCAAATATACATACAAACAGAATAAATGGGTGTACTGGAGATATCCATTTATAATAGAATGCAAGACTTGAGGAAAAAATTAAATTAAAACTTTTTCAGAAATTTAGTTACATGTATGAATAAAGCAGATATGGGTTATACCTCAATGAAATAACAACCATAGAAAGCAATTAAACTAACAAAAAGAATTGTCATGTACACTGAATTTTTGCTACTTGTAATTAATAAGATGTCTATATTTATACTGAATCAATACATTAATTACAATTTTAATCTGACTTCTAGTATGTTAATAAGTAGAACATCTGTGAAATGACTTCATGATGATACCAGATAAATATATATTTTCCAGGAGTTATGTACCCTGAATTTCAGTACCGCAGACCTCCCCCATCATACAATGCATCATTACAAGATTCTTTACATCAGTTAGCGATGGCTCAGAGTGCCATGGACATGGAAGAAGATGACATACCAGCAGAAGACTATAGTTTACCAAGTTCCAATCCTCCGTCCTATAGATCTCGTGCCAGTACTGTAAGAACTGGTATACAGATAACATTTCCTCCAAATCGTGAAGGTCTTCCAAATTCCAGACCACCTACCTACAGGTCACATGTTAGTACTCATCCCTCTCGACCTGCACTACCTCATGACATGGAATCTGCAGGAGGTGATGTTGCCTTTACAGGTCCCGACTATGATATAGCAAACATTGACGATGTGAATATTTCACGTTCTCACAGTAGACAGCCTTCTGCCAGTGCTAATCATGGAGAACCTTTAGATAATATTGTTCAGCAAACATTACAAACATTAGATGATGCCACAGTAGAGGGACAACGAAGGAGAAATGGTGACAGTGATGACGATTACCCACAATTCACTGCTTTGTAATTACATGCTTAATGTATGGATTAGAAGCAGGGACTGTTGTTAGCTCATCCAGGTGATTGTAAGGCTGTCACACTTTCAAAATTCCAAAGTGATATCTTGACTCACCAAAAAAGGAATTCTTAAAGTACATCTAAGAAAGTTGTGTGTCGAAAGGCTCCTTATTCATGTTATTGAAATGAGAGGTTCTCAGAAACAGCTTTAAAGTAAAGCAATTCAAGTTGTTTCCTAAACTAGAAAGAGTGGAAAGAGAAAGTCGACCAGGTTGTTCAAAACATATCACATACTTTCTATGCAAATATAAACTTTTGGTACAATTAACATTGTGATATTATCATAATGGCAGCATTATAATTTGAATACACAATTCAGTATTTGTAAAGACTTTCTAATGTTGTAGTTAGATTGTTTTAATTTAAATATATTGCTTTAAAGATATCGATTAATTTAAGAAACTAAGTAGTAATTGTGTAGCTGTGCAATAGCTGGCAAAGTAATGAAAACATATTGACTCAGAGGAAAATTTTTCCTACAATTAACTTTAAGATTTTAGTTTGTTAGTAAGAGGTTATAAAAAGAGTTAAGTTGTTTCTTGAAGGTGCTTAGTGTTATTTTAGAGCTTTAAGCCTTGTTTCTTAAGTTAAGCCTTGTTTCTTAAGAATGATTTTACTTATTTTCACATTGTTGTAAATGTGATAATTATTTAACGATATGGATCCAAATATTTTATTATTATTAGTTTTAAAAGTCATGTTTTAGCTTTCTTAAAAAGAAATGACAGAATGAATGTGTTTGTAGAATAATTTTCAATGAAATGTAGAATTCTAAAAGCAAATTTTGAAGGCAGTTTTGCTTTGTCAAAGACAAACAATATCAAGGTATTTTAAATTTCAATGTTACATTGCCATTTTTGCCTTGGATTATGTAATGGTGTTCTAGATAAATGAATAAGTCATACTTCTAAATGGTACCAAAGTAAAGATAAATTTGTGTATTTTGATTGAAGCAGGTGCCCTCTAACGGCTATTATTAGCTTCGTTATTATTAGAGTTCTCATCATCACCATTGATTTACAATAGAGTTCTTTGTTAAGACTTATTTGCTTATAGCAGATACTGTGATTAACTGTGGAATAACATATCATGTGTTCAAGTCTTTCATAACAAGGATATTTCTTACAAGTGTTACATATCAATTTTGTTGAATTAGTTGTTGCCAGATACATAGTTTTGTCATGATCTTTTAACAATACCTATTTATCATTGTTCACATATTTCACAAAACATTCCCATGTTAAAAATGTATCATATATTTTTATGTATAAAAAGAAGAATCTATAGACCTTAGGAAAACAAATATTTTACTATTTTTATAGGCCCTGTTATGAAGGAGATATTATGGCATGTGTTGTTCCTATATCTATGTGTTTGTTTGAGCATGTTCAACTCATGAAGGCTTTTCTTGAATTTTTTATGAAATTTTACACAATGACTGGTTCAAATAAAACAAGCTTTCAATTTTTTAGAATTTATTTTTTTTTTGTTCCAGAGTAATTGAAACTGAAATCTTTAGAAAATCTACCTTTTAGGGCATTTTTCATTGATAAATTAAGTTTGCTTTGTTGGGTCTGTATGAAATTTTCTTTCTTTATAGACAAGCTCTCTTTGATTTTGGCAAATTTTAGATAATTTGTTCTAGAGTTATGGGACTTTGATTATCTGAATTTGGAGCACTTAATATTGGATCTTTACAAAAAAAAATACACAGTATTTGCCTTTATACAGACAAAATTCCATTTCAAATTAGGCATTTTTTTCAAATTGTATTCCAGCATGCAGAGTTATTGGAATTTATTTGCCAAAATATAGACTTTGTTGTGTCTTAAAGGGGCATTAGCTGTCAAATTCATCCTCATAGATTTTACTCAAATTCTCATATTTGATTTTTAACATACTAAAACATATATCCAAATTACAAAGAGTCTAAAATAAACAATTAACAATGCATGGAATCAATAATATATATCAGCATTTCGTGTGTATCTTTGTCTAGACGTCATCTAATTAACCATCGAGATATAACCTGATATAAACATAAATAGAAATATAAAACAGATTTTTCTAGGTCTGTTTGATTTCATATTGTAGGTTAAAAAGTATGTTTATCGTCGTTTTTACCTGTGTAAGGATGATTTTTTGTGGATCGAATCAGTCAACCAAATGATTCATCCTTAGTTTCACTTTCAATGTTGACATTCTTTTCCTTTTAATAGCTGAATACATGCGTAACCCATCTCAATTTAAGGGGTTAAATTAAATGTCACATGAATACGGATTCATTGGGGTTGAATTATTCACTTGCAAGTGAATAATTCATCAGTGATGTTTCTTATTCTTATTTTGTCAAAATTGAACCAAATTGGCTGCTAAAAGTGAATTAATATTTCACTGTATCACTTTCATTGATGATTGAACAAAAAAAAATCATATTTTAATTTTTTTTATATCTCGTAGGTAATGCCCCGTTAAGCAAACGTCAGTGTTATTTCACCTTATCATATAAAATTTTATACAGTCTTACTAGATTTATAGACTTGAATGGTCAAAAATAAGGAGGACAGGCATATCATGTTCTCCTGTTGTAGCTGTTGGTTGTTTTAACATAAATTATATACACTTTTACTTGACAAATTTTGTTTAATTTTAAAAGAAAATTTTTAATAGTTAAGTTTTCATTTTTTCCCTCTATTTAGGAACACTTTTACAGCATTGCCTTTCAATGAATACCTAATTTTATGGACAAGTAAGTTTAGGAAATTAAATATGCATCAAAATACTTATTTTTTCATACTAAAAGTCAAAGTTGCAATCACAAATTTGACAAAATTCAGTTTTCTAGTGATAAATCGGCAGGACAATTTCATGCAATTAATTTGTTAGCTTCAAATTACAGATTAAAACTTGCAAATGTTAAATTTCTAAACTCTGATCTCAACTATAGTTTACACTCAAGAACAAGAAGTTAGACTTTCCTTAGATCTGATCTTCAATGAATTCCATAGGATAGATTATCTGTGATTAATGAAATATCTCAACATATCAACATGATGTAATATTTTATCATAATAAGTAAACTAGTATTGTTTGGTAAATCTGTTGTCATTATATGTACAAAACTGAAATACCAGGGAGATTATACTTTGTAACTTGTTTATATTTAAATCATGTTTTAAAAAAAAATACAATAGGCTTGTCTTTTTATTGTTGTTATTTTTATATAAGGAAATATATCTGTCTCATAATATTAGAACAAGACAAAAATTTGTAAAATATTTATTGTGCATACATGTATGTACTTTTTGCCATTCAGGAATTTTGTAAACTTTTCTAGAAGGATTTGTTTCTAAATCCTTTATACTTTTAAATTGGTGCATCAACTATTTTTTATTTTTTACTTCCATTTCTTGAGGTGATGCTTGCTTAGCCTTACTTAAGCAAATCAAAACTAATCTGTCATTTTATAAGAATAGCTAACATAACATTATGTCTGATCTTTTGCCATCTGTAGATATAAGAATGTTCTCACATATAAATTTAAATAAAAATACTTGATATAGGAGGGTCTGGATGGGGTTTATAGAATAGAGAATAATGGCAACTAGTGCAGAATAAAGGGCAAAAAAAATAAAGAATAGAGAAAAATTACCTTTTAAATGAAATGAAAGAATCCCCATCCAGACCTTCATATAGCAGTAATAGAGAAACATGACAATTAGAAAATTTATTTTGAATACCATCAACTGTTTTTAAACAACCAGCAAATAACTTCTTGAACTCATGTTCTTCGAGATAACATAGGTTTGATGGAATATTATGCTACAAATATATTTGAGATTTTTATGTGGTGTGCCAAAGATTTGTATATAAATCAGAAAACCATTATTACTTTTGTGTCAAACATTAAGACATAACTGATTAAGAAAGAATACTTTTGCTATATTAAGATCTATTAAACTGGCAAAATAGGATTTGCTTAGACATATGTGTCATTTATGGATGCTGCAAAATTTAAAAGGGGTAATGGTATTCCCTGTGGAAAAGGGGTTAGGGTGCTTTAGACAAGTTGGTTAATTGTTATGCAATTTGAAAACAAAACATTTTAAATGCAGTTGAATGCATGTTTTATAGCAAGGTTTTCCCAAGATATTTTTAAGAGTATGAAGTTTTAAAGACGGCAATTTTGTTTAAGACAAAAAGTAAAATTATAATAGGTCTAGGCTGTTTTAATTTACTGTTGTTTTTTAAATGATTTCAAATATTCTTCATTCTCTGAAGAAATGAGATTTGTAAAGTGTGTATCATTTTAGAAACATATTTTTATAAAATTTATTTTATAAGTTTACCCCTTAAGTGAACTTGGGACAACAAGGGAAAAAAACATCTTTCCAAATAACATCAGAATTTATTTTAGATTTTGTTTTCAATAACCATTTTCATAAAATGATATTGGCCACCTTTTAACAGAATAAAGGTAAAAGAAACAGTACAGTGTACATACATATCATTCCACAATATTTTCTTGTGATGTTTTTGTTGTTTTATGTATGTTATCATTCAGTACCAATTATTTATTAGATGTAAATGTGTTTTTATATGTGTTGTGTTTTTTAACTGGTTTCATTCCATCTTATATTTATTTAGTATCTTTTAGAATCCTTTTTATAGGATTTGCAATAAAATTTTAGAAATGATTTTTTGTCTTTCATCTCTTTTGTATAATTTTGTTATTTTGTAGTAGAATAGAAAAACAAAGGATATGGGGTATCCATCCATGGCTAAAAATCAGTACATGCACAGTAAAAAACACACAAAAAGCAAAGGAACAGCACTTATTGCTGTTCTTCATCTCAAAGTCACAGTGAGGCCTTCAACACAGAGTATGTATACCAGATACCTCACTTCTATCCCAGTAGTGGGCCAGTCAGAAGCATGGTTTTAAGTGAATAGTAAATTCATGGTAATTTTGAGTTTTCTGACCAAAAAACAAAAGTTAACACCTGAAACTAAAGACAGTTGGTATACATATAAACATTAGAAGATGTGGTATGATTACCAATGAGACAATGATGGCCTTCAACAATGAACAAAACACATACGGCATAGTCAGCTGTAAAAGGCGCCGAAATGAGAATGTAAGATAATTCAAACGAGAAAACTAACGGCCAGATTTATTTACAAAACAATGAACAAAAAAACAAAGAAATATGATATACAAATGCAAATGTTAAACAATTCAAACAAGAAAACTAGTGGCCAGATTTATGTACAAAACAATGAACAAAAAAAAACCAAATATGATAAACAGCAAAAAAACTACAACCACTGAATTACAAGCTCCTGACTTGGAACGGGCACAAACAGAATGTGTCGGGGTTAAACATGTTTGAAGGCATCAACCCTCCCCTAACCTGGGACAGTGGTGTAATGGTACAACACAAGAACAAACTATGCAAAACAATAAACGAGAAAAATAAGAAACAGCAAAAAACAACATCCACTCAATTATAGGCTCCTGACTAGGGACAGGCACATATAGAATGTGGCAGGGTTTAACGTGTAAGCTGGCGCCAAACCCTCCCCCTTACCTGGGACAGTCCTGTAACAGTACAGCATTTATTATAGTGGATGGCTGTTTAACATCCAATTGCAAATTAAATACATATTCAGAATGAGAACTTATGAATATGAACCTTTCTTTGTATAAGAATGACATGACAACCCAGATTTTTTTATGTGTTACATTACAACGGTCTGCAGAAAGACATGTCACCCTACCCAGACACATGATTCTGACTCAGAGCAGACAAATCTCTGCTCAAACTAGAGCAGACCAATCTCTGCTCAGACTCCTTTATGCTTGGTGCTTAGCGAAGAAGCAGCAAATATCAATTTTAAAGTCTTAGTGTTTGACCTGGCCAGGTTTCAAACGCATTACACTTGCACTCAATACAAACACCCTACCACAAGCCCACTGTTTTTTTTTTATATCTATATGTGCTCAAGAATAGTGCACTTTTTCTCGATCTTTTCTTAATTTTTATGCAAGTATTAAACAGTAATTGTTGTTTTGATCTATACATTTATTTGGTGTCCACTGTATTTAAATTCCTCCTCTTATTCTAGCTAGTTATATTATACTCATCATAGGCAATGCTAACCATTAATATTATCATAGGTAAACTTATAAGTCTTTTGGTTTAGTTCACCTCAGCAGTCGAGTACCAAAGGCATTGTATGTGTCTGTGTTACCAAAGTCATTCCCAAGAAAACTATAAACCATACAGTACTATAATATGGTTTGCAGATGCATCTTGGAGGGACCTAACATTTGCAACAAGAATGTCTCATTACCTTATTTCATGTTTCAGTTGCTTTGATACTGTATTTAAAATATCATTTTGTTAAATATACTTTTATCCCGCATCTATTTTTATTCACATGACATACAACAGTTCATACATACTAAATGACCAATCATCATATAATTTGGTGAAGGGATGCATCTAGTGAAGTGTTGCAGCTTCATGTACAAAATATGTCTGGTTCACCATATCACTCTTGACTGACATAACAAGTGTTATGCCCTCACCATTTCTTTGAATTTAGATAAACTTAGGTAATACAACTTAGTGAGATGATGCAACATTGTCAGATGGATTGGAACAAGAAGATCTGAAAATTCAGAAATGTCTTAGTGCATTTATTATTGTGATTGTTGATTGTGATTTAAAATTATTCAGGAAATGCTGCATACAAATGATGTGAGTTTTTTTTTTTTTTTTTTTTGAAAGAATAAAATTCTATAACCGTCCAAAGTGTGAAATATGGACAGTTTTCAACGATTTTTCAATGAATAAAGTTCCACATAACTCAGCAATGTCGTATCAGGAATCTATAAAAAAAAAACAAAAGGGACTTTATTTAAATAAACAAGTCATCAAAGTTTCATGCAAACTTCTCAAAGTGTTTTTGAATTATTGTCCGAAGGCTGGAAAATCCCCCCTTTTTTTATGAATAAAATCCCATATTAAACTTGAAAACTTAAAATCTAAAAGGTATAAAAATTCAAAAGGGAGCTTACGTCAATAAATATTAACAATTCACCAAAGTTTCGTGAAAATTGGTGAAAGCGTTTTTGAGTTATTTTGTCCAAAGTGTTGACAACAGATGGACGGACGGACAACGGTATACCATAAAACATCCAGTAAAAAGGGCAAAAATTTCTGAATTTACAGTATTTCTTCCATTTTTACATTTTCATGATTCACTAAGTATAATTTAAGTTGATATCAATATGACTAAAAAATCCACAGAACTGTGTAATGTTTTTAAGTTATTGTCCGAAAGCTGGAAAATCCCCCCTTTTTTATGAATAAAATCCCATATTAAACTTGAAAACTTAAAATCTAAAAGGTATAAAAAATCGAAAGGGAGCTTACGTCAATAAATATTAACAATTCACCAAAGTTTCGTGAAAATTGGTGAAAGCGTTTTTGAGTTATTGTCCAAAGTGTTGACGACAGATGGACGGACGGACAACGGTATACCATAAAACATCCCGTAAAAAGGGCAAAAATTTCTGAATTTATAGTATTTCATCCATTTTTACATTTTCATGGTTCACTAACTATAGTTTTAGTTGATATCAATATGACGAAATAATCCACAGAACTGTGTAATTTTTTGGATGCATCTATTGACAAATGTATGTCAGATTTGGATATTCTTTTAAGGCTTTGTTCCGAATTAAAAATTATTTAAGTTTGCTGATTCAGATAGCTCCTTTTTTGTGTCTCATAATTTTCATATATGATAGAGTCATGTTTTACTATTCTTTAATATCATTTGGTAACAATTTATTTATATATGTAAAATATATAAACAAACAACAAACTATCACAGTAAATACAAACTGGTAACAAAACAACAAATATTTACATATAACATGATCACCATGACAATCAGCATTACATGTGAATGAATAAATATAATGAAAAATATAATGATCCTTTACATGGTGTATTAACATTTGAAAATCATCTAATTACAAATTTTTTAGTGATATGAAAAATCTCATATCACATAAAGCACCATTTACAAATACTTTCAGTAAACACTGATGTACTTACACAAGATATCAAATTATATAAACAAAAGTACTCTTCAGTCTGGTTTTGTTAAAATGCCCCAAAATAATTACAGTGAATTCATTTATTTTCCTCGGTATCAATTTTCGTGGTTTGAAGATATATTTTCTTGGATATTAAATTTCATGGTTTTGCCAAAGTCTGCCTTAAAAAAAATTTGTACTTCATTGAACATTTAAATCCGTGTTTCACCTTCACCCACAAAATCCATGGAAATTAGTATCCCACGAATAATAATAAATCCACAGTATAAAAATAAGTAAAATAGTTAATTTTCATACAAAACTGTCTTACATTTGAAGAGCTGACAGGTTGGAATTTGCCAGTCAAAAACTCATTACTTATGGGTTTAGGTTTGAATAGGTTTAGATAAGTTTTTGGTCATGGTAACACTAGTACAGTAATAGGGTAAGACTAGTGGCTTGTACATGTAGATATAACAAGGCCCTATATATATGCCCGGGTCCTTTAAAGAAAATGAAAGTAAATTTTTGTTGGCAGGTAGTATTGTTACAAATAGGGGTAAGGGTTAAGGATGATAAGTATATTTATGTAAAGCCATGATTATTCTTTTCTTATTATCCAGACTGAACTTTCTCTGTTTTACTTTGCTCGCGGTCGTTAAAGTCTGGATAATTTATTGTGTGACTGAGATTGTTTGTACGAACACTGTTATATTTTAGGTATCGTGTCCGAATTATATTATTATTGTATGTTTTTATTGTTACATTTATTATGAATGATAAGATATAGAGTTCGTCTCACTGTTTGTCCAAAGGGGGGTCCAGACATGTTCCCAGCTTTATTTTTCCCTGGGTTATCATTGTCACGCTTTCTCACCTTTATCGTATATTTATATAAGGGATATATATTGTAAATGGGCATATCCTTTGCTAATGCAAAGCTTCCATCGTCCCCTTTTCCTTTTATTCCCTAGACTTATCCTACGTTTACTGGAAGCCGCCATTTATTTACCTTGTGTGCGCATGTGCTTGCCGTGGGAAAAAAAGACGACACACGACCTATAAACCTGTGGGCAATCAACCATTCAATTACCGTAGAATGGCCCACTGATACCATGGGATGTGGGTTGTGGGCTCTAAGTATATAAAGGGCATCTTTCGTCTGCTCTTGTTCTAAGATTGAGGCCCAATACCAGGGACTTATTGTACCTTAACCCTGTGCTTAAATACCAGAGCAATACCACCCGCAATCCATACAAATCACCACCAGATTATTCTCAGTAGGTTTCCCCGTATAATATATAGACTGTCCTGTGTGACCTAGATTATGTTACTATGTCTAGAGTGCATTTACAACCGAAATACCAAATACCATGATTGACGCTTGACGTTCCAAGGGAGGTCTCTGTAGTTTATTGCTCTGGGGTTTTTACATTATATATTTGGATGAATTATTATCTATGTGAACATATTAAATGAATTTAGAGTTGATTTTGACTCTGTTATCCTTCATTGTGTTTCAAAGAAAACCAGTGCCTTTGCCATGCTACCAATGGTTAAAAACCAGTATTTGTATCTACAATACCAGTAGAAAGAAATATAAAACCTATTACCAAGGTAAACAGAATAATCTTATATCATTATCATTTATACAAGTTAAAAGGTCAATTGACCCGAAACGTAACAGTATGGAAAAAAAAAGATTTAAAATGACACAGAATGTCATCTGTGGACATATGCTGATGACTTGAGCAATAAATTATGTTTTTAAACAAATAGAAAATAAGATGCAAAACTTGAATTTGAATCATGTGGCCCATAAAAATGCATAATTCAATGCTCCATTCATAAGTGTCAATCGACCTAAAAGATGCTACTCCCAAAAATAATGAGCAAAAACACTGCTCTAAAAATGTTCTTAGAAATTCAATATTTTAAAACAGAAAAATCAAATGATACTCAGATTTAAAAGCTATATAGATCTTCAAAATATTTAACCCATAAGAAACATAAGGGTTGTTATTATTAAATAATGGTGAGCAATATGAATATTACTTTTGGTAACAAAGGCAAGATTTTTAACAAACATATATTGCTGGACATATAATGATGGCTGATTGTATAAATTGAGGTAGATTATGTTTCTCATCATAAATTTTGGTACCGATTTCTATAAATACATCTAGAATGTAAATATTTAATTCCTGGAAGATACTCATTGTCCTCAAGTTCCTTAGAGCTTCATGCACCTGCTTTGAAAGATCTCATACATGCACCTGCTTTGAAAGATCTCATACAGTCTATTACAAATAATCCTATTGAAGTATTGGCACTAGCTTTTTGGAACATGTTTGTCTAAACTTTGATTCATAAAATATCTAGTGTATTCATGTCTGTCTAAATGTTCATCCCTGGAAGTTCTGGCACTGACTGAAATTAAAAAAAAAATATATATCTTTCTAGCTTTATCAATATTGACAGTTGGTAAGATATAAAGAATAGATATTTTTTTAGTCATCTACCAACAGAAATTTGCTTAGTAAAACAAGAGCCAGAAGTCACATGAACAAGTTTATTGTTGAAGGATTTACTCTTACATCCCAGCTCCTTTGTTCTACCAAGGGTGATCTGAGCCGGATCACCCCTACCAGATCACCCTAGCTTGAGTTTCTTTGTTCTGCATGCCTTCCTTTGTTCTGTAACATTTTGGCGGGAAGTTCAAATCCACAATAAAACTTAGAATTATTTATACGGAAAAGACTAACTATTAAAATTTATGTAGAAAAAATCCAGTGTCTATGCTGGGATTTGAACTCATGACCTTTAGCATATAGACCCACGATTCATTTTTTTTTTATCTTTACGACCCACGATTCATACCCCTACACCAGGACGACTGGATACAAACATTCTGTTAATTAAACATATTTAAACATTGTGTCCGCGGCTCATAAAGGGTATATACTATATAGTAATATATAAAGTATATTATAATGATTGTGTGTCGTTCTAAACTAAATTTTATGAAGCGTAAATGTTTTTTTATCTAATCTAGTACAGCTGGGATGTAAAACAGTTATCCCATTCGGACTTGGTGTGTCAGTGTAAGATCACCCTCTAGCCTCCTCCCATCGGGGTGATCTTACACTGACACACCAAGTCCTCATGGGATAACTATTACAGAAAGAGCAGCATTAGACAATCTCCAAAACTCCAAACTGTCTCGGAGCTTTATGCGTTCTGGAAGGACGGACAGATGAAAGGAAGGACATATGGATGGAAGGATGGAGACCATTACCATATCCCCCGCTGCTAAAGTGTGAGGGACAAAAACTTAAAAATACTAAACCCACAATTGTTGATTGTCTGAGCAAAATTTTCAGTTGACATTTCCAAAATTTCCTGTATTAATCCATCAATGTTTGCTGTTTTATTAAAACCCTACTGTAGGAATGACTCAATTTAAGTTTTGTCCACATTCCTAAAGTGTTCTCAAGAGTGTTTTTTCTTCCATGTGTGTTCTCTTATTAAAAGTAAAACTATGTTCTGTAGTAGCCAATACAGTGGTAGTGGCAAGGAATCATAATTAACTGTAATAGTGAGAGATTATTTCATTAAAAATTGGTTAAATGGTGAAGCATTATTTTATACCATGATGATTCTTGCAAAGTTTGGTCAAAAGACCCAGTTGGTGGACTTGGGCTGTTTTCTGCTCTATGGTTGGGTTGTTGTCTCTTTGACACATTCCCGGTTTCCATTCTCAATTTTATTTTGACAGATTTATCAAAAAGTGGACAACACAGCATGTGATGATATAATAGCTAAATACAGTGTTTCAAAAGCCCTGGATATTTTATGGGTATTTGAAAAGATTCACATTGTATAATTACAATCAGACAACTTTATTATGTTCATGCTAGTCAATATTTGGTCAAAATTTTATATTAACAAATAACATACATGTAGTTTGTATCTATAAAATAGTCTTACCTTAATGTCTAACATCTGATAAGGTACATGGAAACAAATGTTTTTGTGGTCGACAATTAAGTGTCCTTTTTTTGCTGAGGGTCCAACTACTCTAACCTCTGAACCTTTTCTAAGTACATTTTCTGGAGCATCTTTGGCTATAAGATAGTTAATAAGCTGAATTTTTTTATTTAACCACATACACATGAACCATTAGTTTTGAGATGAGCATCTTCTAATATTTTTTGGCTGAAAATTGTCAATCTTAAGCTGAAACTTAGAGTAAGATGTACTGTAATTTTATGATTGAGAAACTTAAAACTCTCACAGAAAATTTACAAGTCTCCAATTATAAGCTTAGAAATTTGTCACCCATATGCATGGATTTACCTCTGATAAATATTGAGATAAATTTTCATAATTAATTTGCATGAATTATCTTAAATATTTTTACATCGGATAAATGTGTTTGTTCATTTTTAAATTAGATTTTTTTTATTAGAATATTACATTTACCATATGATAAAAACTTTTTATTGTAAATTCCTATACCTTAATAGTTATATTAACAAACTCTTATCCAAGAATAGTTAGGTCTAACCTGACCACTCACTTATACTATCCCTATAATTCTAAGCGTGATCTCTAATCTGAAGATATCTGAGTTTAATTTGACCATTCACATATACCTGTAGTTCTTTAATCTTTAAACAGAGTATAGTTTAGTCAGACCTGACCAATGGTATAAATCTGTGGTCATCTACGTTATACTTAACAGAAGATAGTCAAGACTATCATCATTATCATGAACCATATCTAAGATCTCTAACCAGTGAAAAGTTGAGTCTGACTTAACCACTCACACATATACCTAAATCATCATGTTCAAAACCTCTTCTTTGAAAAACAGCTGAGTAAATCTATTTCTAAACACCTGAGTAGTCAGGTTTGAAAAACTCTGATTGGATTAAAGCGAAGTCTTACATCATAGTTGTTAACTGATATTCCACCAATACCTTAGAAGTCAGGTTTGAAAACTCTGATTGGATTAAAGCTTAGTCTCACATCATAATTGTTAGCTGATATTCCAACAATACCTATGTAGTCAGGTTAAAGACCTCTACTCTGTAGATAGCAAGTCTAATATGACCATTCCTACGTACCTGAATAATCATGTTTTAGAACCCTGATCTGAGGATAGCTGAGTTTGACCTGACCATTGACACAATATGACCTGGTATTTGGGATGTCTGGAGCTGCTTCCTGAAAGAAAATAAATGTTTTAAAATGATAAACAGTGCTTCAATTGTTTTGTCTTTAACAGAGCGTTTGTAATAAATTCCAACCTTAATAAATATTAAAAAATTTTACTCAGTAGAGGTGGGCAAAAACAAGGTATGGTTCAAGTTTCCATACAAAGGTTAAAAGTTCAGTTTTTATTTTTCGATACATTTCTAGTACATGTATTTTAAATCAAAATTTGGTACGTATACCCATCTTGCATACCGTTAATAGATGTTCAAGACACAAGAGGATAAAACTTGTGAACTAAATTATATATCTAAGTCATTCTAACAGTCAAAGTACTATAGCAAACACTTGAAATTGTCAAAAGAAGAAGTATGGCAAATTATCTTCAAACTTAAAACACAGCAATGATTTTAATAGCACAGAAATTTGGTTGACTGATCAGAGTGCAAAATAAAAAAAAAAACCCAGCAAAATAAAATATGATAAAAAATACAAAAATATCAAAACAAGGAAAATGTCATATAACATCAAAACCTTGATATGATTATTTCTCCCGTTACAGAAGAGACAGCTTTCATGTATTTGTATTGTTCACAATCTTCTAGCATTGTTCAGAATGAAGAAGAGTAATAAGCTGTTGACATGGAGATGAGTCTCACCTGAGAGTAATTTCAATAATATAACTCAAATGTTGAAATTAAAAGGTAATGCTGTATAATTATCTCACACTGACATATCAATAGTGGTTCTTAAACTGACTGCATCCCAAACATTATCCTGTAAACTATGCAAAAGTTTAATAGTCATTGGACTATTATTTGACCATTACTGTTGCCAAAGGGCCAAATAATATTTATAAAAATATGATGTATCAATGCTAATACAACTGCATACCAAATATGATTCAGATTGACATACAATTATTTGTTCCCTTTCAAATGACCTAATCACAATCTGATCAAAAACTAAAGTAGCCATTGCTAAATAATGTCAATGGAAATAAAATGTGCAAATGCTAATAAAACTGCATAACAAATATCTTTGACTTACTATTAGTGGTTCCCCTTAAACTGACCTAATCAAAAATTTAAACATTTAAACAATGCTAAAGTTTCAAGTCTCCTTACTGCAACTTTGGTTTATTTCAAGTGTTACATGTTTACTTATCCAATAAACTTTTACCCAATATACTCTCTTTCTTACAAGTGAATTTAAAAAGGATTCTGAATATTCTTGAAGCTTTTCCTTCTGGATGTCAAATTTCTCTTAAATTGAGGTCAAGGTCACAATAAAATACAATAGTGCTTACCAAACTTATATTGTAATATTTTGAAGCTTGATCTAATAAATATGGTTCCTTTTTAATAACTCCTGGTTTTTTCGTATCTTTTCTGAAATAAAATATTGAAAGAAATATAACAATTACACAATAATAAACTGTTAACACAGAGATATGTCTCGCCTAGTTGTTATTTTGATAATGCAAATGTTGAAATTAAAATAGCAATACTTTAACATGTAAGTTAGTCAAATATTCAAAGTCAATGAACCATGACTGAAGATACAGGGCTAAACAAACTCCATGGAAATGAGATGTGCCAATGCTAATAAAACTGCAAACCAAATACTATTGACTTAACATTAGTGGTTCATCTTAAACTGACCTAATCACAAACTAATACATGTAAACTAAGCAAAAGTTTCAAAGTCAATAGACCATGGCTGAGGGGTAAGGACCAAATAATCTCCATGGAAATGAGATGAGCTAATGCTTATACAACTGCATACCAATTATCATTGACCTACCACTAACAGTTCCCCTTAAACTGACCTAATCACAAACTAATACATGAAAACTAAGCAAAAGTTTCAAAGTCAATAGACCATGAATGAGGGGGCGGGGCCAAATAATCTCCATAGAAATGAGATATGCCAATGCTTATACAACTGCATACCAAATATCATTGACCTACCACTAGTGGTTCCCCATAAACTGACCTAACCACAAACTAATACATGTAAACTAAGCAAAGTTTCAAAGTCAATAGACCTTGACTGAGGTGGTGGGGTCAAATAATCTCAATGGTAATGAGATGTGCCAATGCTAATACAACTGCATACCAAATAACATTGACCTACCATTAGTGGTTCACCATGAACTAGACCTAATCACAAACTAATACATTGTTGACGCCACCGCCGTCGCTGACGCTGGAAACAGCATACCTATGTCTCGCTTTTTGACTCCGTCAAGGCGAGACAAAAATGATCTTTCTTAATTCTACCAGAAAAACTAAAGCCAGCAAGATTGTAAAATTTTAACTTAGATTTGGCAATATATTCACATTGTACTTTTGGTAGTATTTTTGTCCCACTTGGAAACATAAGAATACCAAGTGTCCATCTGTCTGTCTGTTCTTCCAGTCTAGTATACTCTCATGTGTATAATTCTTGCCAATTTCTATGAAAATTTATATGAAAGGGTTTTATCAGCAATGTCTCAGACAATTTTGAAAATTAGTGCCTTTTGGTGTTGATATAAATCTTTATTTTTTCCCACTACTATTCTAGACTTTGAATGACTAGAAGCTTGACAGATTGAAAAGAAACCTGTTTATTCTTGAAAACTAAATATCACGGATGTCTTTTAGTGTTGTAATGATACTGTCTCATTGAATTATACTCCATATCTTTTTTTATTCATATTCTTAGCAGAAATTGTAAATAAATGTTTCCATACTTATGTGACTGTGGTTTTGGTGACATTAAAATTTCTCTTTGCTTGGTTAATATTGGTTTGACAGTTTTCCATTCTAGTCTACATTTAAGACCTCTCCAATGAGCTTGTATCAAAGCAGCAGCATTGTGTATTTTTTCTTGTCTCATGGCTTCTAGCTGCTGCCTAGTTCCCTCACTGAAATAAACATCAATCAAACTGCATTCAAGTGGGTTATATTAATACTTCGGTACCTGTCACTTAATACTTGTAGAATTTTTTTCTCCAAAGGGAGATAGATATACTGTTTTTAATATTCTCAAATTTGATATATTTCGTGAATTATAAACAAGTCTCAATTGAAAACAACCTTCAAACTTATTCGTGAATTATATACATATAGTCCTAATTTCCCTAGAAATTCATCTTTCCTTTAAATAAAAAAACTAAAGGCTCTATAGAGCCTGTCGCTCATCTGCATCTTCAACAATAGCCAATTTTTGGTTAAAAATCATTACGAAAGGGCAATAACTCTATAGAGAGTTAACGGACTATTTCAGTTTGTTGATCTTGACCTGTTGATCATTTTTGCTTTAAAAGTTTCCATTTACATGTGTATCTATTACACTTTTCAAGATGATAGGCAAAAAGGGAAAAAAATTTCAGTTAAATTGACTGATTTGTAGATCTTGACTTGTTGATCATTTTGGCTTTTATATTTCTTTCTGTTTATCATAGTTTTTAAGATACAAGGTATAAATGCAAAAAAATGGTAAAAAATTGTTATTTAAGAGCAATAACTCCATCTGATGATTTCAGCCATGTTGACTTATTTGTGGATCTTGTCTTGGCAGTTGCTAATAATTTGTTACCAATAAAAATTTCTCTGTATCTATTATAGTTTTCAAAATAATAGACAAAAATGAAAAAAAATCTGACAGTTTTGATGTATTTGGACAGCAGGTAGATCTAAACATTTCTGCCCCTATCAGATTTTCTCTGTTCATCAAGATAATAGACAAAACTTGCATTTTACCCTTATGTTCTTTGTTGACAGGCTGGGTCATTGGACACATTTTTTTAAACTAGATACCCCAATAATGATTGTGGCCCAGTTTGATTAAATTGACATGGCCCAGTAGTTTCAGAGGACAAAATGTTTGCAAGAGTTAACAGATGATGACGACAGTCGACAGACAATGGTCGCCAAGTGATGAGAAAAGCTCACTTGGCCTTACACTGAAGTGATTAAATTGATATGTGTTCACTTATTTTCTTGCAGCTAATCAATTTATTTTGACTCAATGATGAGCTGTTTCTAAAACGTCAATGACATTGGGCCTATGACATCCTTTCATTCTCACTCTACTCTACTAAGAAAAACACATCACAGTAAAGCAGCTTGAGATTGAAAATTTTCAAGGCAAATTTTAGAGAAATAGCCATAATCCAGGATCTATTTTTAACAAACTTTTTATTATTATGATGTGACTTTCATTTTCCCATTACTAAATGCCTTAGTACCTTTTTAATAAATGATCTAAAATCACATTACCTGAAGAAGATATGTTTCTTTCCTATTCTCCACTGTGTACTAACATATGGTAATTTACTTTCATCCATAGCTTTTAGAAACTTTTCTAAAATTATCTGTAAAAAAAACAAATTCATCATGTTTTCAAAATGAGTTTTTTTTTATCTTCGTTAATCAATTGACTAAAATATTTGCTATTACAAACTTTCATATGAAAACCTGATAGCATTCTGAAGCATATGACTAATATATTTACATAATAGCTATTGAAAAACTGGTCATTATCGTAATATATGGACTGTCCACAGGACAGTGGTATTGACTAAGAAAGCGATAATGACTGAGCTGTAGGCAAGATCATTATCTCTGTCGCAGTCAATACCACTGTCCTACGGGCAGTCCATGTATCACAATAATGACCAGTTCTTCAATAACTATTATGTTTATTTCATTGAGGAACCATGTTTTTAAAAATTCTCATAAATTCAAATTGTTCAAAGCAAACTCGAGTTATTGTACAATTTCTATAGAAAAGAGTGAAGACCAGTCATAGTGATAACTATACGTCACAGCCATTCATTTAAGTGCAATTTTTCAGTATATGAATACAAAATAAAGTTTTCTACAATTTTATAATAAGCGAATAGCAATTGCGTTTTATTAAAGGGACATCACTCTAAACAGAGAAACCACGCCCCACTGGTCATTTACATGTAAAAGTACGTAAATGACCGGTTTTCTGGTATGTTTTTTTCTGTTAAAGACCGATGGAATTTTTTACTAAAGAATAAAGAATGTCATGTAGCCCCGTGTTATCCAATAAGAGAAGCTAATTCTTAACCAATATGAAATAATTGCTATTACAAACTTTCATATGAAGACCTGTTACCATTCTGAAGCATATGTCACTATAAATACATTGCATGTAGGTAGTAATGACATAATTAAAATCAGTACTATTCAATAATTATTACATTTAGTTTACAACTATTAAACTCAGATACTTCATTATTTTCTCTAATTCTTAGCCTTAAGCAAAGTATATACTTTCCTGAACTGTTTTATAATTTTGCATAGTCAACATGTGGTTTGCTTGATCTCAGTTTTTTCATTGGTCAAAATTCAATTGTGCTGTCAATTTTCTTGCTTTCCCATGATTTCACAATTGTTACAGCATGAAAAAAGTTGACTACGCCTTATGCAGTCACAAAGAAAGAACATAATTGTTTGCAGATCATTGAAAAAGAAAAAGATTTGCCTACATATTATAAAAAAATTATTAACAAAGCAGAGTCCACCACCATATCAGTTGCGACACGATATTTGTCCACACTCAAATATATTTAAAATATAACTGTCATGATATGAGAAATGTCAAATCACATTTAATTCAGAAGTAGAATCTATATTTATATTAACCATGAAAGTAAGAAGATTTTGTAAGTTTTCAGTGAGGAAAGATGCTGCGCTTCATCTTAAAAATACTATGTCACTTGCATTCATATCGCTTTAGACTTCAAACTTCCAAAACTGATGAAAATAAACTCATACACGCACAGTAATAGAAATTTCCTGTTGACTTTGAATTTTTTACTTGTTATTCTCGACAATTATTTAAATATTTTGTCTATATTAGAAAACAATGACAAAAAGGATTAAGGAGAAAATATATTACAATCAACAGAAATTACTGATTATTTTTAAAGTTGTGAAATTGTACCAGAAGTAAAGATCAAAAGAAATTGCTCAGAGTGATTCTTTTAAATGTACATGCAACAGTAAAATCCACAAGATATTTCAAATAAATGGAGCTTGTGTCCATGGGACAAATGATGCCCCCACTTGCATATAACGTTATAAAGGGGCATTACTCTAGAACGGTTAAAAGTGACACCACCCAAATTCGAACTTGATTTGTGTTTTGTGGTAATAGGCATTTTGTATAAGTTTCAGAACATTTGGTTGAGGCACACTAAAGTTAGAAAAACAGAAACCAATTTCGTAACGTATGTACAGACAGACGTATGGCCAAGGGTAACACTTAATAACCCCTCTGGTGATAGCAGGGGCATAAAAATTGGACTTACCTTACACTGATCCTGAGGGGAGGTTAGTTGGTAAGGATTATGTAATCCCATAAACACTCTGTATCTATGGTTAAACAGTTTAAATCTCATTCTGTGTGGAATTCCTAAAAAACAGACAATTACAGATGAATGTGAATTAAAAAATAAATTCAACTGAAATCCAATTTCAATACATTTAGAATTACAAAAATTATACGATTATCTTTAAAAAGTTATACCTTATTGCATTTTTATCTGGTTTAAAAACACAGACGTCACAGTACTAAATAATTGGCTAGATGTTCAGTAAATATGTCAGAGCAATATAATTACCAAGTATACTATTCTACATTATTTATACAGATACCTATGTTGCTATTTTCTGCAATACCTTTCATTTTCACTATTTAAGTCATGAAATTTTATATCAAATAAAAGAACAGAGTTCCAATGTCCTCCGCATTGCACATATCTTATCTACCCAAGGTACAAGGGCAATAACTAAAAAAAGCACTTTTTTTTTTGTTCTTTAAAACTTTTTATTAATAATATTAAGCTTCAGAGCAAATGCAATGTCATTTCCATTATAATTTATATTTCCAAGGGGCATAACTAGTTAAAAATATTTGATCAGAACTTATTTTCTAAAGTGTCAAAGACATTGCTGATATAAACCTATGATATAAGTTTCATAAAATTCTGGCAAGAATTGAACACATGAAAGCAATAATATTGCAATTTTCCATATAATCAATATTTTCAAGGGGCATAACTCTTTTAAAAATAATTGATCGGCACTGATTTATGAACTCTTCCAAGTACATAGATGATATAAACCTATAATTTAAATTTCTGGCAAGAACTGTACATATGAGAGCAATAACAATGCATTTCTCCATATAATTTATATTTCCAAGGGGCATTACTCTTTTAAAAATAATTGATCGACACTGACTTTCCAATTCATCAAAAACATTGCTGATATAAACCTATGATACAAGTTTCATAAAAATCTGGCAAAAATTGAACACATGAGAGCACTAAAGATGCAATTTTCCATAAAATTAATATTTCCAAGGGGTATAACTCTTTTAAAAATATTTGATCGGCACTGATTTTCGAACTCGTCCAAGACATTGCTAATATAAACCTATGATATAAGTTTCATAAAAATCTAGCAAGAATTGTACAAATGAGAGCACTAACAATACAATTTTCAATATAATTAATGTTTCCAAGGGGCATAACTCTTTTAAAAATAATTGATCAGCATAGATTTTCGAACTCAACCAAGGCATTGCTTATAAACCTATGATATAAGTTTCATTAAATTCTGGCAAGAATTGTACACATGAGAGCGATCACGATGCAATTTTCCATAAAATTAATGTTTCCAAGGGGCATAACTCTTTTAAAAAAAATTGATCAGCACTGATTTTCAAAGTTGTCCAAGTCATAGCTGATATAAACCTATGATATAAGTTTCATACAAATCTGGCAAGAATTGTACATGTGAGAGCCCTAACAAGACCTGACGGCCGGATGCACAGACGGACGGATGACCGATATTTCCATGTCCCCCGCAATGCATTACGCGGAGGACAAAAATCATTTACTAGTTTTATAATGTTGTATCAAATCTAAAGTAGGTATAACTGATTGTATTGTCTTCTCTGTGAACTACCTACCTCCTGCCATAAGATGAACTGTTTCTAGAATCTGCAATGATCTTAGTTGTCTGATGATTACATCTTTATCAAACAAATCCATTTCTCCTCTATCATTAGACTGGAAAAAAACAATTAAAAAATGACATAATAATGATAGTCACCTGTTCTTTACTGAGTTTGCTAAGTGTCTTGTCACTTAGTAGATTTATTTTGTAAACAAATACTTTAGCTTATTTATTTTCTTTGTAAATACATGTAATATCTATAAATGGCAAATAACAAAAGCAGGATTGACTTGCTCACTTTTCATATTTTCAACATTAGGTCCACTAGACATTAAACAAGCAACAATCAATCAATCAACATTAGATGTCAGATTATTCACATTCTTGCTAATAGTTACATTTAACGAATTGACTGGTTATCTAATTATTATTTCCAGACAATTAAAATTAAAAGTTGGAATGAAGTCAATTCATTTTAAGTAAATACTTTCAGATCGTATGAATTTCACAGGGATTGTGCTGATGTAGGGTAAATGCCTTCACAAATTTTCCCTGAAACAACTTTCAGTTAAATAAATAAATTGTAAAGTTTTACAGTAGTTTTACCTTTATACACTGTACAAAATGACATTTGGCATGTACAAGTGTTTTCAATAAATTGTTGATCTTTAACTGGAAGTCAGAACATACTGATCCCTTAGATTCACTGAAACATAAAAATATCAAAATACATACCGGGTATTACAATATGTCAATGGTGAGGAAGAATATTTCAAATTTGAAATCAGCTTATACATAAATATAAATCTATATCTTTATAATACTTGCAGTTATGTTCCTTGTCCCAAAACTGGCAGGAAAATTCATCAGTGTTAAATACAAACAAGAAATGATTGTAACAGGATGCTGTTACGAAGTCTCCCAAACGAAGCTCCCATAATTCGTAATTCCCAGTGTCGCCTGACATTGGACAAAGTCCAGTGAAAATTGGTTTGGTCCAGTAAAGTTAATGCATTAGTGATGCCTGGGGACTAACCCTGTATATCATTCAAATCATCTTGGCATGACAACCCAGAATATATATGGTTTAGGGGTGGGGATCTCGACCATTTACAAGATACTAGAACATTGGGGGTGGGGGGAACCCCTGGGGACTGACCCTATACATCATTCAAATGTTCGAGAAACGACGAACAGGAATATATATGGTCTAGGGGTGGGGATCCCAACCATTTACAAGATATTAGAACATTGGGGGTGGGGAGAACCCAGTGGGGACTGACCGTATACGTCATTCAAATGTTTGAGAAATGATGAACAGGAATATATATGGTTTAGGGGTGGGGATCTCGACCATTTACAAGATATTAGAACTTTCTCAAATGGCAGGAGGTCGGGATGACCCCTGGGGACTAACCCTGTATATCATTCAAACCATCTTGGTATGACAAACCAGAATATATATGGTTTAGGGGTGGGGATCTTGACCACTTACAAGATATTAGAACTTTCTTAAATAGCAGGGGGTGGGGGTGACCCCTGGGGACTAACCCTGTATATCATTCAAACCATCTTGGTATGACAAACCAGAATATATATGGTTTAGGGGTGGGGATCTTGACCACTTACAAGATATTAGAACTTTCTTAAATAGAAGGGGCTGGGGGTGACCCCTTGGGACTAACCCTGTATATCATTCAAACCATCTTCACATGACAAACCAGAATATATATGGCTTAGGGGTGGGGATCTTGACCACTTACAAGATATAAGAACTTTCTTAAATGGCAGGGGGTGGGGGTGACCCCTGGGGACTAACCCTGTATTTCATTTGATGTGCTTTATCATGACAAACCAGAATATATATGGTTTAGGGGTGGGGATCTCGACCATTTACAAGATATTAGAACTTTCTCAAATGGCAGGAGGTCGGGATGACCCCTGGGGACTAACCCTGTATATCATTCAAACCATCTTGGTATGACAAACCAGAATATATATGGTTTAGGGGTGGGGATCTTGACCACTTACAAGATATTAGAACTTTCTTAAATAGAAGGGGCTGGGGGTGACCCCTGGGGACTAACCCTGTATATCATTCAAACCATCTTCCCATGACAAACCAGAATATATATGGTTTAGGGGTGGGGATCTTGACCACTTACAAGATATTAGAACTTTCTCAAATGGCAGGGGGTCAGGATGACCCCTGGGGACTAACCCTGTATATCATTCAAATAATCTTAGCATGACAAACCAGAATATATATGGTTTAGGGGTAGGGATCTTGACCACTTACAAGATATTAGAACTTTCTTAAATGGCATGGGGTGGGGGTGACCCCTGGGGACTAACCCTGTATTTCATTTCATGTGCTTTATCATGACAAACCAGAATATATATGGTTTAGGGGTGGGGATCTTGACCATTTACAAGATATTAGAACTTTCTCAAATGGCAGGGGGTCGGGATGACCCCTGGGGACTAACCCTGTATATCATTCAAACCATCTTAGCATGACAAACCAGAATATATATGGTTTAGGGGTGGGGATCTTGACCACTTACAAGGTATTAGAACTTTCATTAATGGCAGGGGGTGGGGATGACCCCTGGGGACTAACCCTGTATTTCATTTAATGGGTTTTATCATTTAGAACATTTTCAATTAAAAAGATTGTGTCTATCACGAACAGTTTTCAATTTATAATCATTTGAAAATTTAAAAAAATAAAATCCCATAGGGTTCTATAGTAAAACCCTCTTTTCTTTTTGCCCCTCAAAGTACCCCTTTATAAACCCCATTGCACAAACAAAACCCTGATTGCACCACTAGACATGTTAGTCTAACATATTGTGAAACCCTAAGTTAATCTGACAAGCGGTTTTGGAGAACGGGTGCGGACAAGTTCAAATTTAAAAGCGGCGGAAGAGGAAGAGGAAGAGGAAGAAGAATAATAATAATAATAAGAACTGAGCAAAAACAATAAGTCTTCCCAAACTTCGTTTGGGAGACTTAATTAGCAGCAAATTTATTGGTAGATTGAACAGATAGTTAATTTTTTTATAGTGCAACATAAAAGTTATAATTCTAAAATCCCATACATGTAACTTTGGATAATTAATATTAGGAATGTGTGAAAGAGACCAAGTCAGTATTATTTTCACAAACCTTTTTGGCAGCCTCTATCAGCAGGGTGCAAATTTTAAGATTCACTACTATATTGATTTTTTTTTATAGATTTTCTTTTTTTTTTCTTTCCTCATTGTTTATGAAGACTTCATCCTCATATTAAAAAATACCCCTTTTACATTCAAATACTTATAAAGAAGAAGAACAATACAAATAACATCAATGCAAATTAACATGTTGTTCAATATCCCTTGCAATGATTCACAGAAAAACCCAACAATTTCCATATATATTTAGCAGCTACTCTTGTTAAAAATAATGATGAGCATTTGCATCCCCCTACCTCTTGAGTACAAACATTTTTGTCTTAATACTTTCAACAATGATATTAGAACTATCGATATGAACAGAGAGTGTAATATTAACAGTAGAGTATAACATTAACTTACCTTTTACTTGAACCGCCAGGCAAAATTCTGTGTTTCAGACCTTTTGGTCCATTCTCTGTAAATAAAGTAATTTTATAGTCTACCAGTAATATGAAAGCATTATAAATAACTCAACATACTGTATAATCACTTTTTTGGCAGTGTAATTATTTTCACGTATTTTGTAGTATGTATATTTTCATAAAAAGAAAAACAGGTACCGGTACACCTTTTAGCAGCTGAGTAGACAACTATTCTGAGTAACAACTGATGAATTTCTGTTCTTTGATGGTTTTAAAATAAGTTCTCACATTCATTTTTAAAGTCGTTATTGATTATCCAATTGGTGAACGTTTAGATGACTTTTATTAAGTATTGTCTGTTATTACGTGTCATTTTGATAATATTTTCTCAACTTAAAAACAAAATTAATCCCCATAAAAATTGTTTTGGATGCAAAACCATGAAATTTTTACTCCACACAAAATAATATTTCTACTGTAGTTGTTTAGGGAGAAATCTTTCTCTCTTTGTTGCAGCTAAGTGTAACTGTGTTCTTGTAAATAAGATGCATATGCTGAAAGTAATATCTTGAAACTCTCAATAAACAGTAAAATGGTCATATTCTAAAATCATAAATTAGCACACATAAATAGGGTTTATAGAACATGCACTTGTATTAAATTTCCGTACGAGATAAACAAAATACCTCTAGGCTGTTTTATTTCTTGGTTAAAAAGATGAGTAGCAAATCCAAAGTTACAGTTCTGTTTAGAAAGCACCCACATAATATCATCTGGTAAATGGTCACGATTACTTGGTAAGAAATTATTGGCATCATATACTACACGACCAGAAAAATGACGAATACCAAACTGATAATCTGACTTAGGCAATGGTTCAAAGAAACTGAAAAAAATACAAAAAACTTTTATCCAACACATTGTATTATGTACTAATAAGTACTACAGCCCTTTTTACATGGTGGCTGTCACATGTACAAATATTTTGTTCAAAGCTTTTTTATTTTGAAAAATAAATAGATTGCATAACTGTTTTTACTTGAAGAATTCTACCAAGAAAAAGTTCATCATGACTGAAATCTTAACAGGCTTTTTATTCCTTGGACATATATTTTTTAAAAGCAAACATTTTCTAATACATCAGAATTTTATGAAATGATAAGAAAACGCTGAGATTGAATATCAAAATAATGAAACAGATGCTCATCTTTATTGCTTTACTTTTATAGCAATACTTACTAGTTATTAACTCGATGATGAATTTTAACTTTAGATACAAATGACTCCGATGAAGTTTTAGGCTGTGTACATTCTGTGTCCAGAATGTTAAATATTCCACTTCTCTGAAATTATACATAAAATAATTCTTCATTTGAGAAATAGTTTTCTGTTTGAAAGATATATGATCAACAAATAAAATTCATTAAAACCGCTTGAATAAATTTTGATGAAGCCTTCAATTTAGCATAGAGATACACTACTTTGAAAGTTTGGTGCTTTTGATAAACCAACAAACATTCTTACTTTTATAGAAGAAAGAGAAATGTAACATTGGAGCATATGGTCTCTACAACCTGAAATTTCTCATATTCCTGACAGTATCTGATTCAAATTCTATTCTTTTTAACTTTCAAATGATGTAAAAAATGTATGAAAACTGTAAAAAATGTGACCTGTATGCACTGTCATCTAGAGAGGTTCTGCAGATCTATGTGTATCTGTTCACCTAGCAACATGTATGCTTTAACTAACTCCAAGGTTAGAAAATTTAATAGACTCCGCTTAATCCACATATGCAGTATAAATGTTTAAAAAGGAGAATTTTAAAGAACGTTTACAGAGAATAATAAATGGTAAATTTTATTGTTTCAAATGAAGAATTTTACAGAAGGTTTGCAGAGAATAATAAATGGTAAATTTTATTGTTTTCAAATATTTCTCATCAAGAAACTTACCGGTGATGATAATAATTCTAATATAGGATCATTATCAAAATAATTAACGTCCACATCAGTTTGAACCTCCTCCTCTCTCAGAGATTCCATGGTACTTTTGAATATATGTGTATTGTAAAAATGTTGTATTGTCTCTGCACACAAGTTTATACATAACTGTTCTAATTGATTTGTCTGTAAAATATAGTCTACATATTAACAAGATATAAATAATATGAAATAAATGTTTGGTTAAATAGAATGACCATGCAACAAGAATGTGTCCATAGTACACAGATGCCCTACTTGCACTATCATTTTCTATGTTCAGTGGACCGTGAAATTGGGGTCAAAACTCTAATTTGGCATTAAAATTAGAAAGATCATATCATAGGGAACAGGTCAGGGATGGGCACGATTACTGACAAATGTAATCGATTAATAATCGATTACATGAAGGATTTTTGTGCAATCGATTAATAATCGATTACTCTAAATTTGGTATGTAATCGATTGCAATCGATTACTTTATCAAAAGTAATTACATTACTTTTCGATTATTATCAATTACATGTTATAAAATATTGAAGAAAGTTTAAACACAACTTATTTAGAGTGATAATTTAGAACTTTACAAAAACAGCTTTTAAAGCATTGTTTCCAAATGTTATGTTGACAGTTGTTTTCTAGATGAAAGCTCTTACAGAGGATCCAAACTATTTAAATATTCTTGAGTGAGTGATGATAAACATGAGAACATTCTTGAAATGAAATCGACAATTGTATCAATTGCTTCCTTATATTGTAGGTCATTTTCTCCATAGTTTGCAAATTTTGGCTGTCATACTGACTTAATTTTGATATTTACTCTTATTTAACAGGATGGTTTATTTGAATATAATGAGTATGAGAGGTTTCCTATGAAAAAAAATATATAAAAAAGAAGAAGAGTTAATTTAACTAATTTTGAAAGATGGAAATTTATAATTTATAGTTACATGAATGAATTTATCCTTTTGTTTGGATAATCCCCCTAATTACAGGTTATACAATTGCCAATGGAGAACAATTTATAACCTAAGGGCAACAACTTGTATTAAATCTCTCATTTAATTAAACATAATTGAAATCAAAACATAGTCTGTATCTCATTGATTAGAGGTCTTTGCTCATCTGATTAGTAATTATAAAAACAAGAAGGATTTTGAGAATTCTTTGTTCTCTTTTCAAAATCATAAACAATTTACATTTTAGTGACACAATGGGATACATGTATCTATTACTGAACAAAAATTTCAATGCATTGGTTCATTGTAAAAATGTTTTGTATTCTTTCCTAATTTTGATGTCATAACACTATGACGAATCAACAGTTTATCTACTCTAAGCTAAAGTTCTAAATATAATTGAAAATTAAGCTTTAAAAAATGTTATTACATATATAAAAGCATTCTTCTTTAGTATAGTACAGAACTTAACTTAGGACTACAAGTACATTTATGTATTTTCCTATATTGAATCTATTTTCTTAATTTTAACATTTTTGTGTTTAATAAAAAATGTCTCAAATTATTGACAAGCATTGGAAGTCATTTATTTCAAAAGCTGGAAATAAAGTAAAAATTGTTAGCCTAGGAGATTTGGTTTATCATAATGCAGCGTGAGACAACAGATCTAAATAAGGTATTTGATAAACTCTCAAGTAATATTGATGCATTCTATTTTATCAGTACTTTAAACTGATGAATAAATGCAGTTGTCTATTTTCATTTAAACTAGGTTTTATTTCAAACTATATTACTAAAGTAATCGAAATGTAATCAAAAAGTAATCAATGATTACATCATAATTTTTGCTGTAATCGATTAAATTACGATTACATGTAATCGAAAATGTTGTCGATTACAGATTACTGTCGATTACTTGAAAAAATGTAATCAATTACAATCGATTACGATTACAGATTACGATTACCCCATCCCTGGAACAGGTGTACTAAGTTTCAAGTTGTTGGTCTTCAACTTCGTCAAAAACTACCTTGACCAAAAACTTTAACCTGAAGCGGGACAGAGGGACAGACGAACGAACGGACGCACAAACCAGAAAACATAATGCCCCTCTACTATCGTAGGTGGGGCATAAAAACGATGAAATGTACTTTCTGCTGTGTAAATATATACAATATCATTACCATAATTATAACATTGTCCCTTTCAAATATAGTTTTAATATCTAAAAATATGAACGTAGTTTCATTGAATGTCATTTTATTTAAAGCATCTTATTGAAGTTGTTACTATTTACTAAAGCATGGTGATGCAACACAATCAATAAATTTAGGTCACATGATTTTGTTCAGACTTCTCAAAAAGATTAGAAAAAATGTTTACCACTAAGTTGGGAATTTTCTTAAATAGATTATTATTCTATATAAATTTTAAAATAATTGCTGTAATAAAGTATAACTACCTCAGCCACCTCAAAACCAAACATATCAACAATACTAATAAATCCATCATATCTTGTCTTCTCAAACTGACTAGATGTACTGCAGGTTAATGATGGCCGCCTACTTGATAAAGAGTCAGGTGATGTTGGTTCTGAAAATATCAGTAATTACATAGTCTATCTTATCTGTCAACATCTGTCAACATACATCATTTTAAGGTAGCATTGGGGTATAAACAAAAATTGACAGAATTTCTTCATACTATACTAAAATGTAGTTTTTAATCATATTTTTTAGTATAATAAAAAGTATAGGTCACCACCTTTGTTTTCATGCTACAAGTTGTGCGACATTAACATATATTGTAATGATTATACAATTCATTATTATGTGAATAGAAAGAGAACAAAATGATAGGATTTTGGAATAAGGTATGAGAAGACAGCACTTATAAATTATCTGAGTTATCTCCCCTTTTAAAAAAAAAGTTTAAACATTTGTGAATTAATTTAATATATATTTCTGTGTTTGTAAAAATAGTTGTTTCATAAAATAAATCGACATAAATTTCTTAACAATCAAGTAAAATGTTTGAAAATATCCAAAGCTCAAATAGTTGGCACAAATTAGCAATATTGATGTGGATATTGCAAAATCTGTTTTGTGAAATTCAAAAAACAATTCAGATCAAAACATCAAATTGAAGGCACAAAAGGCCATAAGGTGCAAAAGATTATCTGAAATTTTATTGAAACCATTATCCAATATACATGTGTTAATTTTAGTTCCTAGTGTAGATTCAAAGATTCATGATGCTGACCAAAAAGTTACTAAATTCCATCTAAACTTTTGGAATCAGTTAGCATCATGGCAATTTTTAAATCTATTCTGTGCTAAATATAGGTTTCTTGGGTGTGAAAAAGGGGAAAAAAGTTTGTTCTCTGTGACACTGACATTTGATTCTCTTTCAACTGAGCAATTGGTTTGAAGAGTCAGATTCAAGTAATGGTTTCAGTACCCTAGGACTTTGATCAATGGATAACAAAGGTGTTTTAATATTACTGGTCAACCTTTTTCGTGATTTACATTTATGAAGGTAAAGACAGATAAACAAATAAACAAATTGCTACTATAGGCAGTAACTATAGTCAGGGACAAAGTAAGGTTTAAAAATAATTTGTTAGATTGAATACCATCAATCTTATTGCAAATTAGTCCCCAGTTATTATATTGAATAATACAACTTCTTATTCTCTCAGTGAATACTTTTTTACTCAGTATAGTCATATGGTTTAATCATCATGTCTCTGATATTGTAAACAAACCTTGATGAATGTTAGATTCTGTGCTATCTGATAATAATGAATTGATGCTTGGTCTTTTTAAACTGTTGGCTCTCTTTAGTATGGCTGATACTGTTCTACAGTACAGTGACTTAGAAAATGAATCTCTTGTAGCATTTGCCTAGGAAATAAAAGGTAAAATGAGAACAACAAATCACACATGATAAAATGGGCATAATTTATGAGAAAAATATATAGTTTGTATTAGATGATTAAAACAGTGTTTAATAATTTCTGCAAGTCATTTACACTGTGTTTCAAATCTATGGTTTTGGATTACTGTAGTTTCATTATTATTCGTAGGATACCAATTTTGTGGAATTCTTGGTTATAGGTGAATAACAAATAAATGTTCAACGGAGTACAAATTTTCTATAGGCTTGTATGCAGATGCGTTAATATAAAAATAAGGAGATGTGGTATGATTGCCAATGAGACAACTATCCAAGCCTTTTTCAACAGATTTTTATAGTTTGTTCCTATGTTGTACTGTTACACCACTGTCCCAGGTTAGGGGAGGGTTTGGCACCAGCAAACTAGTTTAACCATGCCAAATTCTGTATGTGCCTGTACCAAGTCAGGAGCCTGTTATTCAGTGGTTGTCGTTTGTTTCTGTGTATCATATTTGTTTTTCGTTCATTGTTTTGTATATTCAGGCCATTAGCATTCTCGTTTGAATTATTTTACATTTGTCATTTTGGGGCCTTTAAAGCTGACTATGCAGTATTGGTTTTCCTCATTGTTGAATGCTTTACGGTGATCTATAGTTGTTCACTTCAATGTCATTTGGTCTCTGGTGGAGAGTTGTCTCATTGGCAATCATACCACATCTTCTTAATTCTATATCTGGCAAAACAACGATATCAAATATCCATGAAAGTATAATTTTTCCTTAATCCATGAAAATATGTGACCACGAATATAAATGAAACCAGAGTTAAGATTTCTGCCCAATCTTGAAATATGAGAGTGATTAAAAAGGAAGAATTGGCTGCCTAAATATGTAATATATTGTAAATATTTTTTTCTATTATTTCTCTAAACTTCATTATCTTTTGTCTACATTGTTAAGTAGAAATCTGACCACTCATTTGATTACTATTCTGTCAAAGCTATACTTACTGTATTAACATCAGCCAGTGCTTTACAAACTTGTCCTCTTGTATTTCTTGTCTTTGTAGTAAAACCTCTATATAAAGCTACACCAGACACTCCAAGCAGAGCTGCTACAGCTTTTATTTCTACATCATAAAAGGAGTTTATGTCATTCATTTTTATATTTTAACTGTGGTTATGATGAAGTCTTGCCTGAATTAACTTTGAAGTCATCACAATTTTGAGGTCATCTTTTTCGTTCTTTATGTCTCTGATGTACATATTTTTTTACATATTTTAAAACACCTGCAGACATTTTGTAACTCATTTTATATTGCAGCTAACTTTTCATATTGCAGCTAACTTTTCATAAACATAAACCATACAGGTGCTTGTCAATTTTCTTAATGTTAATTCTATTTTCATATTATTAAGAGCTATTCAAATAAAAGGCCAGGTAATCAAACTAAACGAGCTCAGCTAAAATCCAGTAAATCTTATTTAAAGACATCTGAAATAAAGTGTCTCACCTTAGCAGTTTTAAATAGCTGTAATAAAAGCTAAGATGAACTGACCACCAGAAGAAAACTGGATGTCTTTTTTGGATATTTTGTTGTGTTTGGATACTGTCTCACTGACATATACCCAACATATCCTTTAATTCATGGTTAACACATGAATGGTTTATGCTATGATGGTTTAAGACACATTTGGGGAATTTAATTTCATGTCTTTATCATTCATTTACAGGGGGGGAAATGCATTTTGCAGAATGTCTTAATTAATAGTTTGATTGTCCTTATGGAAACTATATAATATGATGCACTAAGTATAGCATTTTAAAACACAATCGTTTTTTTTGCCTTTTGATTCTTCATTTGTTATTAGATTTCAGAATCATTGATAAATATGAAAAAATACCATTATTGCCAACAATGTCTAGCTCCAATCCTGTCCCTTCAACAAACTCCACATTCCCTAACAACAATACAGCAGCAAATATCCTCATTACATCAGAGAAAGGTATACCAAGAACTGACAGGCAAAGCTAAACAAAAAAATATAAAGATAAATCAGAACATATTCCTATATTAATATAAAGTTATACTAAAATATTCTCGAAACTCATGTGCACATAATTGAACTGAAATGAAAAATTTGCATTGCCAACTGAAAAAGTAACTAATTACTAATGTTGATGTAATTTAGTGAACTATCTATGTCAAATGTTATAGTTTTCTGTTAAGTCTGTCATTTACTATTAGACTTATAATGTGTGTAGCAGGGCTCACACTACTTCAGAATCATAGGGAGAAGTGACTTCTCTTTTTGAAATTGAGAGGGAGAAGTGGTGATATTTGAAAGAGAAGTGCTTGTTTTCGCTCACGGTGCTACAATTTTTGGTTTTTACTATAATACATTAAGGGCCATTTTTTATATTGTTCAATTTGAACCTGGGTATACAATTAAAGTAACTGTTCAAATTTAAAGTTGTTTAATTTTATCATATCTAGTTGCACAATAATATGAGTCCTCTTTTCAGAAAAAAACAATTAAATATCTGGCACTAATAAAAAAGATTTTTTTTTATATCAAAAAGGAAAAGAAAGTTTGTTATATCAATTAAAAAATACTCTGTTATCATGTTCATGAAACTGAATATTTCTCATTAAAAAGATATATAAATTTAACAGTTAAGTTTGGACATAATATAATTACATTAGTGTAATCAGAGACATATGTCTCTGGTGTAATAGTCCCAGAGTTGAGCAACTTTAACTTATAAATTGAAACAATGCATATACATGGAAATATATACATTAATCAAGAAGATCTTACCAAAAGTATGTTAATGCATGTTTTCCTTTTGGGATCAATTTTTGTTTGTCAGCAGTGCCATTCATGCGTCCGTAGTCATTATCGTAAAAATCTGGATTTCGGTCATAGCAGGTCCGTTTCCAATGAAATCCCAACTCCGATCCGTAGTTGTACAATAATACAAAAATGTATGACCAATAATTTAAATGGTGGACGAAGAAAAATTTACAAAAAAATAAACGATGTTTGACACTCTATTTGGAAAGGAATATGACGTTTTTAATGCAATACAAGGATAACAAATTTACTTCAGACAAATTTCATCAAGTTCTAATGAAGTAACAATTTATTTTGCTGAAAGTTAGAATGATTTGAAGTACGCTCTGAGTAACAAGTACCAGAATTGATAAAAAATTGTTTTTATGAAATAACATGCAACCAACTTTTAAATCAATGCTTTAACCTCTTTTCTGAAGAAAATAAATTGTTTATGCCTTGAATTTCTTTACTTTTAAATGAAAAATTGCTGTTTCATCGTCTTGGTAAAAATTGAATATTGCCGATGAAGAAAGCGACTGAAAGCGAGTATCGTAAACCGTAGGGTGACTTCTTTTCGCTTTTGAGGGTCGGGCAAAGCGAAGTGACGGACGGGAAAGCGACTTCTTCGCCCTAGTCGCCTGGTAGCGTGAGCCCTGGTGTGTAGCATGAGAGATTATAGAACTGAGCAGCATTTCCTCTTGCTCTTGACAACTTTTTAGTTGACCTGATGTTGCTCACTCTTTCAATTGAAGATTTTGAATTTATGTTAGACATTTGGTATACCAAGTTTCTAAGCTGAGTAGATGTAATAGGGGCATATGTGAATCTAACCATCAAAAGCATTCAAACATATTAACAGAATATTTAAATTGAAAACGTAGTAAGTTCGTTTTCTGCCAAAAAATTTATGAGGAGGAGGGTAAAATTTTCATCTGATTATTACCTGAAAAATTTATAGCAGTATGTTGCTAAGGGTTTTGGCCTAAGGTAATTTTGAATCAAAAGTTTAAGAGGATTTACAATAAAATTTAGTACTTACCTTCCATGAATCAAATCTAGATTTATCTTCCATGTCATTAAAATCTGTATTTCCACAACTCAGATATCTCAAATTATGTACAGAATGTCCAGTCAGGTGTAACTTGGCTGTGAAGACAAGATTGCTTACATAAAAGTGTAAATAATTACTAGTACATACAATTTGCTTATAATCAACTACATCTTTAAAACCTGAATCCAAAGAATGCGTAAAAATAATACATGCATACACAAAGCTTCTTGGCCAACACAGTAATGTATAGTAATAGTGTACTCTAATAAAAAATCTTGTTAAATACATGCTGTGATTAACTGGGTTAGATGGAATAAGTTAACTTCGATCAAAGACTTATTTTTGCAAAGCAGTACTGCATAAGTTCAGATTTTATAGTCATGGACCAAGTAAAAAGCAAACCTTTGGTCATAGGTGATGCAAAATCAATATTTTCATATTCATTCAAAAAAATCAATTCTATCTTAACTGGGTTATCTAAGATTTATATTTTATCTTATCAAAAAATCACTTTTATAATTTTAAATAAGACTTTGCCAGAGTATTGGCCTTTGATGTAATAGATAACATACTTATGCATTACTTTCAGATCAAGAATGCAAGCATTGTCATACTAAGCATATAAGCTAAGAAAAAGGTTGTCTGGCTATTGTTAAAAGCACACATGAGTTACAATTCATCACTTTCAAGCGGCTGACCAATATGAAGTAATTTGTTTAAAGTAGTACATGTATCAGATATATTTGATGCCAAATTTAAAGTTCATTATCATATAGAAAAATTCAAAGTATAGGTATCTGACAGATTCATACATGTTCACAAGTTACAACTCATCACTGTTAAGCTGCTATAGACCAAATATGAAGTCATTCTCGACAGAAGTTTCTGAAAAAAGTGTGGGATGAACAGATGAATAAAAGTACAGACAAGGTGATTGCAACATAGCCCCAACTGAAGGATATAATATTGAACAAAGTGGCTTTTGTGTGGGATAATATCTCATTACAGGTTCCCTGAAAGGGATATCATACATTTGGTGTGATATTGATAAACAGAAGTCTGAGTTTTCAATGAAAATTGGAGTTAATAAATAATATTTCTTAAATAGTAATTTTACCCTTTTCCTCTGCAGAAAGACCAGATAACATTTGGTAGAATATATGATAGTTCTTCTCAAATCTTTGTATACTGCACACCCTTGACTGAAAAACAGATAAGTTCTATGATGATGTATTTTTAGTTGTCTGGAAATTGCAGATGAAGGAATTGCATTATTACATTATAGAAATTCTAAATTAAAAAAAAGTGTGCCTCAATACTTCATAATGATATCCAACCAAATGGACAAAAGCATAAAGTATTGTGGTGAAAATTGTTGCAACTCATGTCAATGAAAAATTCCTATTTCACTATTCTTTTCTATAATTGACAATTGGACTTGACAGGCAAGATAGGCAAAGGGAAATATTTGTGCTCACATAAAACTAGTTTACTCCACAGCTTTTTGTGCCTGTAACAAATCAGACTATCTTGACCATGTATTGATTGTTATTGTTGGTCTTTTTTTGTATATCAAATTTTCTCAGAAGAGTACATTGTGGGTGTGGTCTTTAGGCCATGTTACACAGTTATCGTCCTTTGATTTTCGTGGTCTTCAAGTAAAGTCCCTTGTGTGGAGAGTGTATAACATGCAAGTTTTTTTCATAACCTTTCAAATTTACTTCTTCACGATTCATGCCACAAATAGCAATAAAGGGGATGAAATAACACTGTTAAAATATAATATATAATTGAGAAAGAGCAGGTGTGATTTTTTTAACTTGCATTAATCATTTAAAAGAAATGCACTATGAAATATCTGTGTTTTCATCCAATATTTTTGGTAATTTCTGTTACCCTTTTTATGTATTACACGTATTGAAACTTTGCCTTATTTAACAATTATTTTTTTCTTTAGTTTCCTCACTTTTATTCTTTCAACATACCCTAAAAAAGATAGGTACAGGTTTATATTTCCTAACAAAAAGTTAATACAAATCTGTACATTTGAATTAAAGGCAAGATTAATAAAGACACTGCCCTATCACGTGTTCTGGGAGATTTATTATTATGGGAGATAATATATTTAAAATGAGTTCTAATGATAAATATAAAGTGTTGTGAAATAATTATTCGTCACAAGCAACCTTTTTGCTGTATATTTCATATAAAACTATTTTTTTTCAACAACAAAAATTGTTTTAGGTCATTCTAGTTGGTATCAATAGTAGCAGAATTGTCACAGGTTTATTTTTTTACTAGGTTATATTTTTATTGTAAAGCCTTCTCATTTTCTGATGATATTTTCTGATGATATACAATGTATACACAAGTATTATGATTTGTTCAGAAATTTGCTATATATTTCAACCAAATTCAATATTAAAATATTATTATTCATGTTCACATCAAGAGAAAACAAAAACAACTGAAGACAAAATTATGATAAGATAAACAAATAAACTTCAGATAATTATGTGTATTTTAACACATGGTTTGTTAAAATGAAACCATAAATGTCTTCAAAATAACTTTTTTTAAATGTGTTTTTTTTGTATGAAATACATAGCAAAAAATTGTAGATGATGAATTTTTATTGCATAACTGATTGATGGTTAGATGGTTTCAAATGTTTGTCCATTGAATAAAAACATTGTAGAAGGTAGATTAACAGAATGACAAATATTACCCTATCCAGCAGGTATGCATGCACTTTTGTGCGATAAATTGCAGCATCAGTAAGAAAGTTCTCCACAAACATTCCCTGAAAACAAACAAGGTTTATTAAAGGTATTTTTCTTTACATATAAGTTTTTTGTCCTTTGAAGAATTTTTGTTGTTGATGGCAGATATTTGGTAATCTCTATCTTGAATTTCAACATCAAAACATCTTAACCATTCATGGATAAAATGTAGATTAAATGACCCAAGTTTAGTATGTATAGCATCAACAAAATCAAGATTCTATAAAAAACAACACAAAAATAAGCTCTATTCACAAAAAGAGGGTCAAGCGAAACCAAATGCCTGTAAGTCATCATTGTACACTATTGTACCAAAAATCATTTCAATATCATTCAGTAACAAAAATGTCAGGACACCTGTTTTATTTATAAGGACTATATGTCCCAGCTAATAGAGTGTTTCAGTCATAAAACTCTTCTATGACTTGTAAATGATTACATCTGGATCTTAACCTGAAACTTCACCTTAATCTTTCTTCATCAGATGTAAATGAGTGGAACTTTAAGCATTGAAAATCATTCTTCTCTGAAATGCAGTTGCTTCGAAAAAATCAAACCAACAAATAGTTGAAACACATCTGCTGCCTGGGTGAGCATAAAACTTAAATATATGTACTGTAATTTTCTAGTTCCAATTCTGAACTCCTTTAAGTCCTTCTTAAAATATATTTTCATAGTATCAGAAAAAATGCTTGTGTAATAAATATGCTTTGAAAAGAAAATATGTATGATTTAAATGACTTACCGCTCTACTACATTCAGGATTAGTAATGGTGGCAGCACTGGTTAGGGACCGCAGCACTGTTAGTGTGGCTGACAGGTGTTTGAAGGCATCAGTCTCGGGCCCTCCCCCTGCTATGTCAAACAATTGTCGTAGTAACTGCATTGCACAATGTGTTTTACCACTTCCACTCTCACCACTGAATAATAAAATAAATGTTTTAAAAATAATTTTAGGTCATATTTAATTGACCCACTTAACATTTGACAATAAATTTAATGAATCTACTGAAGAGGAAAATAATGCATTCAAAACTAAGCTGTTTCAAATCAAAGCTTGACTCACCACTGTAACATGTTAGAAGGAGGGTTGAGTGCTTACAAACATGCACATTAACGCAAACTATCAGTAAAATGACAAAATCTTTAATTTACTAATTTGCTATAACTGAAACCAATGGCGTCTTCAAATCAGGTATTTATGGACAAACCACAACCATCAACCTTTTTGATCACATGATTTTACTTTACACTTCATTGCTAAAATTTCTGACCAGTTGAACAGTTTGATTTGATGAAAAAAATTGCAATTTGGTCAGAATTTTGAACGAACTGCAATTTACATTTGTAAATCTATTATATTCTGTGTGCTTGACCAGTCGTTTTAACCATTTATATTATTTTAAGTAACCTCCATCATGCTTTGACTTTTGGATCATCTTCATCAATGTTACCCATTCCCAATCACTCCATGTTAACTATAACCATACCTTACAATGACTGCCTGTGAATGACCATTTTCTGAGTGTTGTGACACAGCCTCTTTAATCATACGTTTCATCATTAGTGATGGATGACTATCAGGATCTACCATTACTTTATATGAAGGTTTGTGTCGATTACAATTAACTGATACTATCACTGGTCCTATTTTATTCTGAAAAAATATTTTAATGAGAAAATGTAGTGGATTATGATTTAGACAACAGTCTTCTTGCTGTATTAACTATTATGCCAAGAATAGCCAACCTTGACAGTGTTTTATCTAGGGTTTTAAACATCAGTTCAAAGGTTTCTCATCCTCATGTTATATCAAACTCATTACAAAAATGCTTTATGGTTGTTACTATGACAGCATGCAGACTGTATACTGGCAAGTGCAATACACTTCTTTAAAAGATATCTTGAACCATAATACTGTCCAAAATATCTCCAGGAGAAGAGTGTTTTCATGCCAAACTGCCATTTCTTAGACAGATAAACACAAACAGAGAAAATAGTAGCAAAGTCAGGAAACAATGAGGGTCAAACTCTCCATGAATTTTTGTTTTCCGGTAAATGGTTAAATGGTGCATTTTTTGGCAGATAGACAAATTTTTACTTTAATCATTGCCATTTAGACATGTGCATATATAAATAGACTATTGACACAGAGATATGTCTTGCCCATCGGCAGAAAATTCATCAAAAGACAATCTGATGGACAGCAACATTGCTTATCAATTCAAATTGCTGGACCATCACATCAAGAGCAGCGCGTCAAAATGATCTTCAAACTGAGATTTACTGATATTGATGCAACTTTATAGAAAATATCACTGTGTATCATAAGTAGTTCCTATCAAAATAACTTAAGCAAAATACTTAACATTGAAATTTGGTAATTAATTGAAAGTCACTGGACCATGACATACATGGGCAGGGCCTCGAAATAGTCTTCAAACTGATATGTATTGATAGTAATGTAACTTTAAAGAAATTATCATTGATCTATCACAAGAAGTTCCTATCATACTAATATAAGCAAACAAGAGGCTGTCAGAGTGACAGCAAACGTACATCCCCAAATCAATAACCGATTTTTCCTTCGAAAATTTGATTAAAAACTAAACATTGAAAATTGCTAATTAATTCAAAACCACTGGACCATGACCTAGGGGGCCTTGGAATAGTCCTCAAACTGATATGTACTGATAGTAACTTTATAGAAAATATCATTGATCTGTCTCAAGTAGTTCCTATCAAACTGACTTAAGCAGAAAACTTAACAATTGTTGATGCCCCCAACGCCACCGCTGAAAAAGCAACACCTATGTCTAATTTTCGTCAAAGGCGAGACAAAAACCAGATTATTATTGAAGCAACCTTCAAATTGAAACTATTAATTACAGTATATGATAAGGCTTAGAGTTCATCTATCACCTTTTCAATTATAGATACATTAAGCGGTGACTTGATATATTTTTTTTTCTATTTAGGAAGTTATGGTATACCTAATTTACAAGCAAACAATCAAACCATGAAAAATCTATAGAAAAAATCCCATCTTATCTCAAACCATCAAAATTAGTTCCAACAAAGTATTATAAACCCATGTTATTTGGCAATATAGTCAATGTACCAAATCTAAAGTTAAACTTCAAATGACTAAATCTGATGTTAAACTTTAAATTACTGATAGAATCGTTGTATAAAAGCTTTGATGATGATGTGAAAAATAAAATAAAACAACAAACAACATCAGTATTGTGTAAACTAACCATTAAACTTCTAATAATGTCAATATACTTCATATTATTTAAAACCATGGTTTAGGAGTTTTTGTAAGTAGTTATGATACATTGACACCTAATTATTACAGACATTTGTCTACCTCGATGAATGATCTGAAAACATCTCAACATCTTAACAAAACTACAAAAACCACTGAGTTGTAACCCAAAGATATTTCATCCATAATCCTCTTAAATTGTTTACAACAACTATTTTCTTTAAATACTTAAATTGCTTAACATTCAAATTTATGTGGAAACATTCCTTTATTAAGGACAAAAAGCTAAAAAAAACTAGACGCTCTCCTGGCTTAAAAGTACAATCATAATTCAGTAAAAATAAAATTCCCCAGCATTGAAGTTAAACCCCCTTCCCCTTATTTGTTTTATTGTTTTATAAATAAAGTTGAGGTAATATATGAATAGGTTGTTGAGGTTTTCAACCATTTTCATTCCGAATCATGAATTTCCCTAAAGTTTAGAAGCAGTTTTTTTTAAAGATTTTTCCTATTTTTACTATGATTTTTTTGGGACTTCAATTTCAATTTCTGTATATATGGCTGCCATATTTGATAACTGAGATCATAAATATGTCATATTGACTAAACTTAAGCTGCATTTGTTTGCACCTGTCCTAAGTCAGGAATCTGATGTTCAGTAGTTGTTGTTTGTTGATGTGGTTCTTAAGTGTTTCTCGTTTCTTGTTTTTTATATAGATTAGACCGTTGGTTTTCCCGTTTGAATGGTTTTACACTAGTAATTTTGTGTATGTTTCTGAGGAGACATATGTGGGAGTATATATAAAATGAATCAATCGTATAAAACAACCAGCTAAATATATCTAAAAAGAAGATGTGGTATGATTGCCAGTGAGACAACTCTCCACAAGAGACCAAATGACACAGAAATTAACATTACATTAGTCATTAGCTTTCAACTTTTGTCTGTGAAAAAATAAGGCAAAAAAAAGTTGTTATTTAATATATGAAACCTGTTTCTATTCTCCTTAAATTCTACTATAAAATTTTCAATCATACAAAAGAAAAACAAATCAGAAAGTTCAGGAAATTATTGAGACTAATAAAATGAGATCATCAATATTTGGATTGATAAACATGATTGATTTATTATTGATAATATTGACAAATTTCCTTCACTCTAAGGGTAAAAAATCTCTTTATCATTATTATAGTCTTCTACTATGTAACCATAAAGTCATGATCACTTTGTAATAATGCAAAAAACATACACAATATACATAAAGGGAAATTTTCCACAATTGTACTACTGGCTAATCATAATACATTTTTTGTAGTTCAAATTATTTTTGTGTTTTTTACCTTAGAAGATTCATCAAGAGAAAAAAAAAGAAGTACGTCAATGAGACAGAAATCCATGGACACAAAAATCAAAAAGGCATCTTAAGGTTAAAATATAGATTTCAGCAATAGACAAGTGTCATCACTAATGTGTTCACCATATATAATGAAGTAGGTTCACATAGGATTAAAATAGGCCGTAAGATTTTAATTTTTTTTTTAAATCTTGCCAAAAATTACAAATTTTACAACAAAATAGTAGTGATGTAAAACGAAATAACTTCTTTTCGGCACTCCTTAATAATTAATGCATTATTTGTGTTGTAATGTCAGATCATGAAAATTATTGTTTCTATGGATTCAATAAAACAGTAACTTTCGATTACAGAACATTTTGGATCATAGGTTGCAACCAAGGTTTTCTTAAAGCTTTCAAGTCTGGAAAATGCACACAAAAAAAATCATTCATCGGTTTTCAACAACATCTCTAAAATATGCTTTTGAAAACGTATTTTTATGGAGAGATTTGTTTTACTTAGCAGTAATTGAGGCTTTTGAAATAGATCCATTTAAGAATCAAATTGTGACTTTTTTATCATTTAAGGTGAAGTTGAAATTCAAGGCTGTGTTTTGGTAAAAGGGAACCTATCCTGTTTGCTACTTAAAATAAAATGCTTCGCTGAGCGCAGCCAGATACGACTGCAGAGGTCTAACCCTGAACAGTTGGGGCAAGTTTGGACACAATATTCAAGCTTGATACTGTCTGAATTTGGATTGTGATCAAATTTTTGACATAATATAGGTTTCTGACACAAAATAAATGTGGTCAAAGATCTTAAAAATTTGAAATGGGACATTTAATTTACCTAGAATGGTCTGATATTCAAAATCTAACAACATGGTTAGAATTCAGCATATAAAAAAACACCAAAAATTTAATTTTAGTTGAAATCAAACAAAGTTTAAATTTAGACCCTTCAAACCTTAATATGGACTAATTTGAAAACAGGGCCCAAAATAAAAAATCTAAATGCACAATAAGATTCAGCATATCATACAGCCGCAATAATTCAGTTTTTGATGAAATCAAACAAAGGTTAATTTTGGACCCTTTTGACCTCTATGTAGACCAATTTAAAAATGGGGCCCAATATCCAAAAAAGTAATACAAGGTTAGAACCCCAAAAAATTAAAGACTTTAAATTAATCCCATTGAAATTGGTTAAAAGATTTGTATTTATTTTCAATTGAAGATTTCTTGCTATTGCGCAAAACTGTGCAACTTAAGATTTCTTGCTATTGTGCAATACTGTGCTATTGCGCAATACTGTGCAATAAAGGATTTCTTGCTATTGCGCAATACTGTGCTATTGCTCAATACTGTGCTATTGTGCATTACTGTGCTAATGTGCATTACTGTGCAATTGAATATTTCTTACTATTGCGCAATACTGTGCAATTGAAGATTTCTTGCTATTGCGCAATACTGTGCATTTGAAGATTTCTTGCTATTGCCCAATACTGTGCTATTGAGCAATACTGTGCAATTGAAGATTTCTTGCTATTGCGCAATCATTTGAAATTTCAAAAATTTTGAAGAAAAAAAATATGAACCCCCCAAAAAAATTGGAAAAAAAAATCCCCCCAAACTTTTTGAACCCCCTCCCCCTTGGAGTAATAACCCCAAATTAATCCCAGCCTTTCCTTTGTGGTATGGAACCTTGTAGTACAATTTTAGAGAGATCCATACACTTAAACACAAGTTACTGTCTGGAAACTAGAAAAATGCTTGTTTTTGGCCCCTTTTTTGCCCCCAATTCCTGAACTGTTGGGGCAATTACCCCCAAACTCAATCCCAGCCTTCCCTTTGTGATATGGAACCTTGTGGTACAATTTCTGAGAGATCTATACACTAACACACAAGTTATTGTCCAGAAACTACAAAAATGCTTGTTTTTGGCCCCTTATTCCTAAACTGTTCGTACCATAACCCCCAAATTCAATCCCAACCTTCCTTTTGTGGTATTGAACCTTCTGGTAAAATTTCTTAGAGATCCATTCACTTGAACTAAAGTTATTGTCCGGAAACAAATGTGTCTTCAAACGACGACGGACGCAGAAGACGACTACGGACGCAGACGACGACGACGACACCATAGCATTATATGAAGCAAAAAATTTTTGGTGGCCATATAAAAAGCTTATCACAAATATTATTGGTGAATATAATTCCCTATTGGATATTTTACTGAAAAAAACTACTTATATTTGCAAATGGAGAATATTCACCAATACTTATAAATGCAACCTTTCACATATCCCAGGATCAGTTCACTATTATAATAAACCAGATTTTTTTACTTTTCCCAACATATAACTTTTAAATAACTGTCTTAATGTCAATTCCTCTAAATCCAATCTAATTATGTTATAAATCAGTGAATACTTTGATCTGTGATCCACACCAGAACAGATAACAATCAATAATCATCTTCTAATAAAAAAAAGACATTAATTCAAAACCACACACAGAAATTAAAGGATTATTTCAAAAAAAATTTGAACAAAATGAGGCATATCTATTTCAGATAACTTATGACACAGTTGTTTGGACAAAATTTTGAATGTAATACAATACAAGAAAAGTTCTATTTATTTTCTTTCCATTAGATCATAATTACATTAGTTGACCATTATTTATTTATTTTTAAAAGTTCTACATCACTGACTGTAAATATAAATTCCTTCCAGTAAATTGATGGTCATTCTAGCTGATAATTCATTATTATCCTTTTAAATGAGATTAACTGTAAAATTATGCCTCATGATGGATTTCTATTTTTTCTTTTCATTTCTAAACTGAAAATACTTAGTATCAAATTTAAATATTTTTCATTTAATTTCCTATAGAAATTTCACTTTTTCTAGATTATAAGTTATTATGTTCTGTTTTTTCATAACCTCTATTTATCAGTTATTAGATCACTATTCAATGTCATACCGTCCACCATTAGGTGATCTAGTAATTGTAGATGTCTCTGCATTGAGGCTTAAACAAGACTGTAACTTCAGAACTTGTATTATAGTAAAGGGGCATAACTTTGCAATGATACATGTCAAACATTTTAAAACCCAACTTGACCTGTTATAAGGTGTATGACATTGTGTAAAAGTTTCATAGTATCCAAATAACATCTGAAAACATTAAAAAGTCAAATGATAATGAGAGATTGATATTATTTCAACAGAATGTCTGACTATTTATTGCATGTTCAATTGACCGTGGAAAATATTTTATGCATATTCAGGATAAAAAAATTCAACAATAAATCAAATATGATCTGCAAAATGAGGAAACAGAGAGTGGGAAATGTGGACTGCATTTTTTTTTGTTCTTTAAAACTTTTTATAAATATCTTAGAGAAATAAAGGTTTTGGAGCAAATGTAATGCAATTTTCATTATAATTAATATTTCCAAGGGGCATAACTTGTTAAAAATATTTGATCAGCACTTGTTTTCAAAAGTGTCAAAGACATTGCTGATATAAACCTATGATATAAGGTTTCTTAAAAATCTGGCAAGAATTGTACACGTGAGAGCACTAACATGACTGGACGGACAGACGGACGGATGCCCGCTATTTCTATGTTGTCCCCCGTGCAACACAAAAAGATGCACTTCTTAGCATTGCAAGAGGTCACATAAAGACCCCTGAAATAATTAATGCAAGAGTACTTAACTGAAAAGAGCATGGCATATCCTAGTATGGGACATCATACTTGGCATACCAATACTAATCAGTCTTGGCATTGTATTTTACACCAAACTGATGTCCCAACTGAATGGGTCTAACTATTGGATTGGAGAAGTCCAAGTAATTTTCTTTCTATACCTTATTCATCATTATGGTTTCTTTCATCAGTAAATGACAAATTAGACAAAATTAAACTTGTTCTGTGTATTTCATGAGGTTATAAGCATAGTATCAAAAGAACATAATTACCATCCAAAAACCTTAAAACCATTTTTCCCCCAGATAATGAAGGCAATAACTATGGTAAATTTACCAAAATTAAGCCTGTATTTTTTTGTGTATTCTTACAAATTTAGTTATCATTACTAGGATATACTTTATTCATTGCACTTCTGCAAACATTTAAGTCTGATACATACAACATATCAAAATATCAAGTGAAAGATCCCATTTTTCATCATTTAAAAAATAATCTGAAATATAATGAAAATCAGGTATTTCACACATTTATTGAATGTATGCCAATTCAAATGATTATCTTTTTTTCAGACTACAGTTCACAGGAAATTCAACAATATTTTGTATACAATTACCTGATATAAATGTGAATAAAACCGAGCCTGAAGGCACCTGACCACTGTATCTTCTGTCATTGGACCCACTAAATGTGTCAGATCTTCTATACAAGAATATACACTCATGTCTACAGCACTTCTTTGGTCTGTAAAACAAAATTCAGAAATAATTCATTTAAAACTAGCAAGGTATTTTAAACACAAAAGAAAAAAAAAGGAAATTTCTGTTCATGTCACTGCAGTGGTTAGCCACAAAATAAAAAAGGAACTGACATTTGTCAAATGTTTAACAGAATATTTAATATGATTGTGGGTCTAAAAATTAATCTTTGATAGTAAAAAAAGCTGTAAATCAATAAACAGGAACCATGTCAACTATTTGTGGCAAATTCTAACAACATGCATGAATTTGGAAAAGAGACTCAGGATACATCTTAAGTATATCAACTTAATAAGGAACTTTGAATTCCTGTGTAAACCATTGACCTTCAACATGTATATTTAAATGGACAACTCTACTTATATAATAGCAGATCAGAAACAAACTGCTATTTTTGCCACTGGCTACACATAAAACCCTATATTTCCTAAAGGTGAAAAAGGCTACAGTAATCAGACGTGAGGAGAAATATGGAAAGCCTACTTCATGGCTGTTTACAAATTTAGCATATTACAACAAAATCAAATCAAGCCCCAACTAAATCCCCAAATGTGTATGTTAGTAAACATTTCATGATTAGATACTAGTACATCTGCATATTAGGATATAACAATTTATACTTTCTTGAGTTACATGTAGTTACAAAAAAAAAACAATTTCAAAGGCATAAATCTATAAACCAGAGCATTTAGTCACATGTATTACTCAGCATATTAGAATCTTACAATGCACTAAATTTATTTCCAAATAACCCTCACAACATTGTTGATTCAGCTTGTTTGGAGATTACCTGAATCATACATGCATTCATTCTAGTATTAAAGTATAAGTAATCCAAATTATGGTACAAAAAAACTCAATGAGTTGCAGTATAATATTTTTATAACAAAAAATAGTTTTAACCTGTACATTACAAATGCTATTTTTCTGCATTTCAAGAAGCAAAAGTTCTTATAAACTAGCTTTATATAAAGGTTGCTGCTAAAAGGAATGTTATTATACAAATATGTGTCCATGCAATGAAAAGGGCCAATTTGAATGTCAGCAACTGTCAAAAAATGCTTAGTTCAACAAAGTGATGTTATACAAATGGGTGACGATCATGCATCAATGATCGAAAGGCCAATACAGAAGTGTCAGCAAATGTCAAAAATGTTCATTCTAAAAGTGTGTTATAAATAAAATATTGCAGGACCTGTAACCATTAATAAAAATAAATTTCTACTTACTGATAATGAGGAATATATTGTTAAATCTAAATTTGATTTTGATTTAATGCTTGAGAAATGAAAGCTGTTACTGTCGAACTAAGTATTACCAATCAAAAATAAATTATTGTAATGTGTTAACAGAAGGAAGGGATTTACGAATAACATATATCATAGTAAGTAAAAGGACATTTCAACACTTATAATATGTTAATTCAAGTCAAACAACCTGATTTCACATGGCAGATTTTCTCTTGGATTGGTTTGTAGAAAAATTTGGTGCACAGTGACCTAAATTTTCTGACAAATTGTATTGATATATGTACTTGAAGGAAATATTGGACTTATTTTACATCAATACAAACAGATATCAAAACAGTTTTTATAGCATACAATCAAAAGAGATATTATGTAATGGTAATAGTTGACTACTGCTCTGAGGTTCAAAAACATTAATATAGAACAGGAATGATATAAATAGTGTTGTATATTAGGTACATAAGTGATCTTCTTACAAGATCCTGCTTATCAAAGGCCCTCATGAAATGCAACATCTTAAAGTGTTTATCCTTAATAATGATGTATTCATCAGAGCCCAACTTTCCATAAGGCCTTATTTTTAGTACAGAAACAGATCATAACATAACTGTATGTTTTAAAAGGTTTCAAAAATGTTTGAAATTTCTACCAGGCTGAAGCATCATATTCTGTTTGTTTATAGCAAATATAAGATAATGCACCTTCATGACCTTGTAATATTCTAAAAAATCTTTTACAATAAAAAACATCTTGCTAACTAAATATTTATAATGGAAGAAATTCAGGAAATTACCATTGTAAATTATATTTATTAAATTTCTATGTTTGCTCTTCTTTTGGGACTCCCAAAACAATTATATGTCAAATAAAGAAATACAATCAAAATGGTTGATTTCCAATATAGACACAGGACACAAAATTAAATATGTTGCACTCTGTAAATAGTTTTTATCTGCAGGGAATCTTAATAATAAATGCAGTCTTTATAGAAATTCATAATAGTTCATTTCCTAAAGCAATTGACATAATCAAATATTTAATTCTATTCTCAATTTATAAAGTTGCAGTTTATTTAGACATTTTTCTGAAAAATATTACCTAATAAATACATGATTAACAACAATCTAGACAAGTAAAATCCTTTCCTATTGGAAATGACAATATGTCTGCATTTAAGTCTCTTCATCAATAATTTCATTTGTTATCTGTAAAGAAGATTTTAATAAATTTTAAGATATTCAATGCTGCACAATCTAAAGGTGTGGACACAGAGAAATGTCTAATTGGCTAATAGCTATGCATGAATATATTTCAGTCTTCTGATGTTAAAAATCAATAAACAAACATATAAACCATAACCTTGTACTACACATGACATTTATCTATTATTATAAGTATTAAACTAACCGTTATCATGGAAACAGGATATAAATTACCCTAATGTACCATGAAACAAGAATCAAATTTACCTGAAACTTACTTGGCATACGATTACCTCAAAATTAATTTGAATACAATTACCGAGAAACAGTCACCAATCAAAAGCTTAAACCTCAGCAATAGACGGGTTTATCTGTAATTGACCTAGAAAACATGGGCGCATCCATTAACATCTCACGTGACCGATCCGCCATTACAACCGTGAAAAATAACGCACGTGTATTGATCAAAACATTATCGATTTTCTGTTTACATTTGTATTTCTTTCATTTTCTGATTTATTTTACTATGGATGCTGCCGAAAGTTATAAAAAACATGGAAGCATTTCTTGTGCAGTTAATAGTTGTACAAATAATCGTAAAAAACTTCAGGTGTGGAAAAAATCAATATGCGAATTACACAACGACTTGCACAATGACTGCCCTCGTTTGATTCCATGCATATACGTCTTATGTGATGCCTTCAGACGAGCCAACAAACCTGAGTGGATGAAAGCCGTATAAACATAAAAAAAAAACTCTGCTTAAACAGGTTTTTGTATGATCCAGACATTTTTTTTTGGATGATGCGCCACTGCACGACAATCCGTTTTTTTTAAATAAAACTTGTTATGAAAGTAAAATAACTCTGACCGACGAATGTTTACATGTTGTAAAACGACTGTTAAAACTTATATTAATCTATAAAATTTAATCCGATGACTACAGTGAATCTGCCTCTTTTTGTATAGAAAATCCACCGCGACATCAGATGCGAATCCAGGATTTTGAAAAAAGGGGGAGGGCGCGTGCCCCCAAACTTTTGAAGTGGAAGCGGTAAAATGTCTGGATTAACCATAAATGAAGCTAATAACAATGAAACCTACCCCGAGGCTACATGTAGTTATAATTGCAAGCAAATCAACCCAGTGTGAAAAGACGAACTTTTTTCATTCATGACTTCTATAGTATCTTTATGCTGCAAAATAGACAGACATTCCGACAATATTAACACAGTCAAAAATATTGTTAACAGAGGAGTAAGGAGTTCAAAATTAAATAAAAGGGGAGGGGGAACCTCGTCAGCCGTTTAAGAAATATTATGAATGACAGTGACGCCTTATTGTATATTTATGTAACTAAGTTTTCTTTACTTTAGTGGAATTACTACACAATTTAATCTTCAACTACGATATTGCAGATCAGCTGTTGCTCGATCGTACTGATGAGGTTAATACTTAGTTTGAGTATTTGGTTATTTGGGACGGCGCTTTAATATTTCGAAAAGTAAGGCTTGTAAAATATTTTATTCCTGGGTGCAGTTCTTGCTGAAAAACTTAAAGGTTTTATATATATGTGGGTCTGTGTGCTTATGGTATATTTTCACTTTATTTTCTTTATAAGGCGTATACAGTTACTTCTGTTGATTTGAACTTTCCTCAGTAGATTATTCTGTGCATGAATTCTAAAATTTTATACATTAGAAAGGATTTTTCAAAGGTCTAACTCTTGGTAATCAAATAGTTTACTAGAACCTACGAAAGCGTAGCTATACCGGTAATCCGAAAACCCGAAATTCCGATACTTCAGTAGTCCGACGGTCCGATATACATCCCTATTGTTATATTGTAATACTGTATTTCACTGTATTATATACATCGGGGACTTATATAAGAGTCTAATACGGATTAGGGATGAAAATCTACGAGACCATTGTTTTGGAGTGGTTGGGAGGGGAGTTGGCAAAACACTAAATGACGCTTCTAAAACATAACTAATCATCGCTTTGAATTTACATGTTGGAGTCTTTGGTGGTTTAATGGCATTCATTTATATTAAGCACGGGCTGGATCATGATGTTGTATACTATACATACTATAGTAGTTGTATGTCGAGTAATTTTCTGCAAAAGAAATTGGAATCGAACACATAATAACTATAGGAATACATGGGCCGTGAAAGTTCAAAACTTCTTAAGCCCATATTCTAATCGCAAAGTTATATCTACATATTGCCCGACGCATCGATAGCATCATAGCGCAATTCATGCGGATACCAAAGTAATACGAAAATGTCACTCAGTTTTGAGCATTATACGTGAGTCAAGCAAAAAGCACAAAACTCTCGTCTCTGTAGGACCGTCTGATAACAGTGCATTGTTAAATTTTAGGACTGTCTCATTATAGGTCTGACCAGGAACATATATATTGATATAGATATACTGTTCCCAGGTCTGACCACAGAAATTTCTATGATTTGATAAAATTGCACCCTGGTTTTTCTGATATATCACATATTCGACCGGTCAAGACTATTTATTTTTTATTTATGTATGCGTTATAATTATTAATATTATGATTACCAAATGATTGTAATCGACATGTAACCTGGGATTAGTATTCGTATAAAATTTATTATGTCCCGCGTGTAACATATCAAATACAGTTATATTTTAAATTAAGGACACGACACCTGGCCTGCAATACACTTAGAATCCTTATCTAATTACTTTATTATTTATAGCACATATAATTTTGCCGAGGTCAAGTACGACTTCACATTCTTGTGTTTACATTTAATTATATGCGGTCAGGGCATATAGATCTATATCCGTATTTTTTTCACGGTTGTAATGGCGATCCTACTACGACGACGCCTAGGAGTCGCGTCACAAACTAAGGCAGATAATCGGAAAAACCTGTCTATAGAGCCTAAAAAGGCCAAGGTTATTTGACAGAGGTCTTCAAATTTACAAACAAATCATGGTTCCATAAAAACTAATCAAAGATACCAGGCTTAAATTTGGTATGCCAGAATAACTTGTTTTTGTCTACATAAGACTCATCCGTTGCGCTTGAATCAAAACAGTTGGAAAGCCAAATCAAACACATTAGGGTGTAACAGATCTAATGAACAATATTTTACTTGAAATTTTCATGTCTTTGGAAGGGAGGACTTATATTTATTTTCCTTCTTCAAGGTGGGGACTTGCAATAAGAAAAATTCCAATGTTTCCTCCCATGTCCCCACAAATGAAAGAAAAATTAACAGTCTCTAAGTTATATTGCACAAAACAATTTTGGATTCTTTCAATCCAAATTTCAAAGCTAAGGCTTTTTTCTCAATCTTACAAAAAACTGACTCATTTTGATCAAATTCAGTAAACCATCATAAGCAAGAATGGAAAACAAAATATAACATTGCCAATCTGTAATTATAAACTTCACACTGTATTTGTGTTCCTTCACTTCCTCATGACAAAGTCATACACTTTTTTTTCTCCTAAATTTGTTAAAATCATTTTTCAATTGATTTTATTTTAATGACTTTGTGATACCAATGAAGTATGTATAATTCTGTCATGCAGTAGTGCAAGGGTGGAAAATCATTTTTTGTAACATGAACAGGTTTATAGAATGTCAAATTAAAACAAGTGATATTCTTTTCACAGAATCTGCTTTAGAAAATCTGACATTCCTTATTCCTTTATCAATTTAATTCTTATGCATACATACTAAAGCCTCATGTTTTTGTTTGTAAATCTCTTTCAACATACACTGATCGGAATGTCACTAAAATGTACATATTTCTAACAAAAAAAGAGCCATTTAAATAGAATCAAAATTTACTTTGTGAAAAAAAAACAGAAAATGTATAAAAAAGATGTCCAGGACATACCCTCAAGATATTTCATACATGCTTTTCAGTGTAATTTCTTTTAAAGAATTAAGAATGCTATTTAAAGTGGAAATGGTGTCTTTCGGTAACATGTATAAAGTTAATTAAATGTTAATCACATTGGACATAAATTAATTTTTATTAACATATATTGTTTTCAGCTAGACCATTGTTTTATCCCCTAAAAAAAATAAAAATTGTCTGAATCAATAATTGCATGAACTTATATTCATACGATCATAAAATTTTAAAAAGAATCAATTGTTTAATCTGAGATAACAACATTTTCAATCATTGTAGTGATCTTAGGGTCTATTTATAGTTTAAAATGACAATAGTAGCCTGGAAATATGCAAGTCTAGCATTTAAAACAATACATTTTTACTGTTCTAAATGTTAACAGACAACAATGAATCCCATACATAAAAGTTGAAACTTTTCTTATTTTTTCTGTATATGTTGACTTACTTTTGAATGCCATTATTTATCTCACAAGTTACAGGTAATAAATTCCAGCTACATATCTGAGTGATTGCTGTCAATCTATGGCAATACACATCCCAAAACAAATAAGTTCAGATCTATTATAAATCTTATCCAAACATTACTGACCACATAGAAGTTTGAATCACATCAATCAAGTTAGTGTCATCTCTTTGTTTTTAAATTTCCTAAACTAACAAATGCTGAAAATATTATCCAATAACATCCCTAGTTTCATGAACTGTGTAAAACTGTGAAAAAAGTATCTATAGTTGAATCATATTTTAATACTTTTCTATCATAACTATCAACTATTGGATGTAAATTGGTTCAATAGATCCATAGGTTTTTTTTTGACAAAAATTCTATATTATCTCTTATTTCCAAATATCATCCACTGGTACTTGATAATTCAATGTCCCTTGTCCCATGTCGTGGATGTCAACATTTTATTATCGGCACATCTCCTTAAACAGGTTATAGATTTTTTATGACAACATAATGACCTTCGATTGTATCTTTATGAAGGAACTTTCTCACCAAACTATTGTACATGGTATTTGACGAAATCCAAACTTGTCTTTAAGTACTAATCCTATAGTACTACAGTAATACTACCTTCTGTAGTGCTTGTTTATAGACATTATTAAATGATACTTAAAACTTCATCAAATGTGGTCTTAAGTTGATGTCACACTTCAAAACATTTGATGGCCAGGTAAAAACATAGGTAACGGAGCCTGCATGTCACTTGAAAGTCGTAAACTGGACATCTGTTTACACTAATGTATACTTTACAGTGGTATGTCACAATACCCTGATCAGATTTGTATCTATATATCCAAGTTAAATTGTTTCCTCCACGTTAATCCATCCACATTTATCATCCAATCACAATTTTTTTGGTTTAAATTGAATGATGTTCTAAACGATTTTTTCCCCCAATTCAATATAAAAGAAAATATCTCACATAATTAAACTGGGGTACATTCCAGTTGGATGGTTTTAATATAAAAAACAATACAGCTCTGTATTTGTTGTACCTGTTCCGATCATGACCTCTTGTACAATAACAATACAGAAGTGTATAACAATATTGTGATCAACAATGATAATTATTTTGATTGGTGTACAACAATCATATTATAACTATAAATCTCTACTTCACATATTTTGTAAGTTTATGTCTTCTTCTACATGAATATAGATCTGCAGTGATAAAGAATCATCTTATTTCATTAAAGTCGGACATATTTGGCAGGTTGTTTTAAAGATGAATTCATCCATATTAAAATATTTGTTAAAATGTCTATCGTTATATATCTATATCTAGCAGATAACAATCAATGATTATTTTCTCAAGACCACATGCAAATAACAACAGCTTTAACGTAATCCTGACTTGAAAAGTTCACAGAAGGTCTAAAATAAGTGAAAATTTGATATAATGATAACTTGTCATAGTTCACATGGGACAGATCAAAACTGAGAATTACCACAATAGATTTGTCTACCCAAGTTTAACAAAGCTGATAATTCTATCTGGTCTTACAACACGTTGAATAACTACTGTATGTCAGAATTTCCTTCAGGGTATTATACATTTAAATACTTATGCAAAATCTGTACAAATACTTATTAACTTCTTTATGACCTGTTTGACTTTGCATTCAATTTAATAAAAACTTTAAATCTGAGGAACAAATCGGTCCAAAAATATTATTTTATTTGTCGTGTTTAAAACTGTGTCCTAGCTTAAATAATTTGATCAAATTAATCATGCAGAAGTAGTTACATTCCAATTACATAAAAAGAGCTATAGACACATTTATTCTTCATTAGCCTTTAATTTCAATGATCAAAGTATGGAACAAAATAAGTTCCAAAAAATTGTACCATATTTATTACTGCATAATAAAATAAGAATAATAGTTCTCTTTTACATAGTTTTCAATTATTATAGGCAGTATATTTATTATTACTTTTATTCTTATATACATTAAAGAAAAATTCCTACCTGAAACTCACAAGAAGAGAATGTAAATTTTGAACATTAAAGTAGCTGATAAAAGCATTTATATCAACTGTCCAATCCTGTGAATGTACCTGGATATCAATTTAATTGTAATTGCCCACTGATTTTTCTTTACCATTTAAGTCCATCTTTTGATATATTTTCCTTATGAAATCATGCATTTAATATGACTGACCAAAGTTCTTTTTCTTCCATCTTTATTGAAAATGTGAATACATCATAATACTGGTATACATTTGTTTCAGTAAGCAAACATACAGACATTTCCATAATTTTCTGATGAAATTTGTATATCAAAATATGGTCATGAATTACAAAAAAAAAAAGATAAAGGGTGGATGTACATGGGATAAAAATCTCATTAAATACTGGGCAAAACAAGATAACAAAGAAATAGTGCTTTTATTGCTATTTTATTATAGTATAGTATTTATATAACTATATTAGACATACAAGAAAAATATAACCAAATGCTATTATTATAATTGTTTTCCCCACTGCAGATACACATTTACTTGTATCATATTCTAACAATTAATGCAAAATTTTATTATTTGGAGCAGAAAGTTTCATTTTAACACGTTTGCGTTTGAAAAAAAATCATTGTAAAAAAGGTTTGTTTTAAAAAGGCAAACCCAAAATTTAATCTATGTGTTTATCAAATGGAATGAAGCAAATGTCCATTTTCTACAAAAAATGAAAATTATAAACACCTTTCTGTGCAAGAATGAAATTAATTTAATTTTCATTAACTCCTTAGATTAAGAGTTTAATATACTTGTTGAAAAATCATTAAATGTATGTTGCCCTATAGATCCTTTTTGTTATGTTATTTGTTGTGTTGCTGTCTCATTGCTATATATCCAACATCTCCAGATCCTCTTATTTACATTTAGAAGTTTACAGTAGAAATATAAGTGATTAAAATAAGGCAAAAAAATTAACTGAAATTAACTTGAAGTTGGAATTGCTGCCGACTATGTGATAAAATTTTAACTTCTATACAAGAAAACTGACATATTCTATGTATTTCCTATGGGAACACCAAATAATTATTAAAATAAAAAATACAATAAGATAAGATAAACAACTTTACTTCTGGTTTATCTTACAACATTTCAGTAAAATAATCTTTGCTAGAAGATGTAACATATGAGTACATGAGATGTGGGGTATATCAACAGCTACTTAATAATTCAAATAAGTTTGATGCATCTTTTTATTTTTGACAGGAAAAATCAAAATATTTGTCTGAATATCTGTTCCCCCAAAATGTTAATTCCATTGAAGAATGAGAAGGAATTAATATTCTCTGCCAAATGAAACTCTTATGCAAGTAATTATTTTAAAATGTGTTGTAAATAAACAGTGGTTTCACCAAAACAGGAAATTCATTCTAATTAATTTGAAATAAATAGAAAATGAAACAGCCTTGTAAGTAAATAGTTTGTATGATAATTTATGTAGTATATACACAGAGGTTAATGTACCGTGTAACAATGACATGTCCTTTGATGAGGTAAACAATGGATCCCACACCACAATCACTTTCAACAGTACATTGACTCAATGTGTCACTTAACTGTAATCATTAACTATTTTTTATCAAACTTTATTTTTTTGTAGTAGTGAAGAATTGTTATTTGTCAAAATGTAACATAACATTCATTTTATCATCTTTGTTCATCATTGTAATTGTTAAAAGATGTAACACTAAAAAATCTTTTCCTTTCAATTGGCTGCAACAATAATGGAGAAGGGTCAAAATGTTTCTCATGGTTGGTATTGTTTATGCATTAGAGACATGGACTACTAGCATTATTTTTGAAGTAGAAATGCTTACTCCAGAGCCAAACATTACATTGAACACCTATTATAACTTAATTCTTTTAAACAAATAGGGAAATTATAAATTGTTTCAGCAGCTATGGTTACAACAAATTTGAAGGAAATCACAGCAGGTAATTGTAAAAATTAGTTCCTCCCAAATATTGATAAAACCATACTTATTGTAATGAATGATGCTAATTCCTAAAAATTTGTAAGGGTTCAGCGGAACCCAGTGTCTCGCCTACTTTTGCTGTTAGTCGCAGGCTCAACAAAAATGGGGAAAAAATTATTAAAAATTTTCCTCTAGATACTATCTTTTGATTTTAAGAAGCTTTGGTAAAAATCCAGGATGGTTTATGAATCTAATAAATGTTTTAAAAACTTTAACTGCAGACTGTATGTAATGTTAACTGGAAGAAAAACTAAGTCCATTTATAAGTAATATATGGAAAAACAGGAAATAAATTTTTACAAAATTTTCTTCTAGATACTAGCTTTTGATCATAAACAAGCTTCTGTCCAAGTTTGGTAGAAATCCAGGATAGTTTAAGAAAGTTATTAAAATTTTAAAAACTTTAACCACAGAGTGAATGTAATGTTAACTGGCAGAAAAACTAAGTTCGTTTATAAATAAAATACGGATAAACAGGATTTTTTTTTTACAAAATTTACTTCTGGATACTATCTTATGACCATAAACAAGCTTCTGTCCAAGTTTGGTATAAATCCAGGATAGTTTAAGAAAGTTATTAAAATTTCAAAAACTTTAACCACAGAGTGAATATTTGTGGACGCAGCCGCTGCCGATGACGACGGAATATAGGATCACTATGTCTCGCTTTTGCGACAAAAGTCGCAGGCTCGACAAAAACTTAAACTTTTAATAATGTTAAAACATATATGATAATGATTCAACCAATAAAAGGACACAGTCTAGTAATAAAAGAGAAACTATTTTGCATGTGGATCTGCTGGAATTCCAGCCTTGGTAATCATTCTTTTATTAATATACTGGTATCTGTATGAGGCATGTTTCAATGAGAACTCTGAACAGTTTTTGGATATACAGCACATTTTATTTTAAGAGGTTCAACTATAAAAGGAAGTTCTATAGTTTGAATGAAGATTTATATAATAATGTTCAAACTGACCAACAGGTTGCAAAAAAAATCTAATGCAATTTTTCCATAAAGTTATTACAGAGTACCACTTTTGCGTTTATCATAGTAATCTGAAATAGGAGTATATACCAGTAATAGCTATCCAAAATTGCCATGAGTGGAATAAAGGACTTGACCTATGATTTCTGTTATGTTGACTCATTAGTAGATTTTAACCTGCTGATCAATTTTGCTATTAATAGTTTCTATCTTTCTACTATAGTTTCCACAAAAACACAAATATCGGTTTAAAACATAAGGAGGTGTTTGAAAGTTTTGATTAAAATAACGGCAAGTAGCACTTGATTTTTTTAACAATTCTGTCCCTGATAGATTATCTCTATTCATAACTGTATAAAAAAAAAGAGACAATTCTTATCAAAACAAATCATTGTTCCAAACAAGTTCATGTTGGACAGGTATCATTGTAAAATCATTTCAATATCATCCATTAGTTTGGTTCAAAACCTTAAATCTACAATGACACAATAAAGCTACAAACAACAAGTGAATGTTACTCCAAAACCATGCCAAACAGTTTTAAACACATACTTACATGTAAAATTAAATCTGCAAGAATTATATACAACCGTACTATGAGAGGTGACTTATCATCTGATGGCAACAAAATTCAAACATTTTTATAGATTCAAATTGTACAGGAGAAAGACTTCAGGCATATACTAGAGATGCATTTGTTAAATCTAAGCCTATAGTGCCCTTTAGTTTTGAAAGTGGTTAAGAGATACACTCTTCATTTTGATGAGCAGTATTTACATCTACACTTCACAAAGTTTATACTGCTCACCTGTCTAGCAGTACCATTGCTATATTGCATACAAATTAGATCCAATTCATTGTAGATGATTTAACAGTCATGCAGTCATTATTCAAATCAAATTCAAATCAAAATTCAGATCAATAACAAACTGAAAATTAACTTTTAATTCAACATTAATTTTGTATTGGATAATACATATACCAATCAAGGATTTAAAAAAAACTTTCTAATTAAATATTATTCCTGCTATAAAGTTTGGTTCAGACTGTCTTTGTGGTTGCAGAGGATATTAGAAAAAACTGAATTATCTTAAGCTTCAACAGGAATTGAACAAT